GATAGCTTAAATTTTATAAATTAATGTCTTAAATGTTGTAAATTAATAGCTTAAATGTTATAAATTAATAGTTTTGGCGTTATAAATTAATTCCTTAAATGTTATAAATTAATGTTATAAATTAAGTTATAAATTAATTAAATAAAATGTTATAAATAAATGTTATAAATTAGTAGCTTAAGTGTTGTAAATTAATGGTTTAGACGTTGTAAATTGTTAGTTGCAATGTTGTTATTTGATATTTTTTGTTTTATTTACCTTATATTTAAATTCTTCGTCGATGTTCACTCTCCGGAATTTCAGGCGCAAAAGAGCTCGCGCGCGACTTCCGTGTTCCTTATATACCTTGACAAGATGCCGGTTTGTTAATCAAACGGTAACGATATCTTCACATAGCTGGGGACGGTTTTTCCATTATAACAAAATCAAATTGAACGATTTCTTAATTTTTATCGTAAATTGGCATCTTTAAAGATTTAATACGATATCCATTTTTATCATTTTAATAGTTTCTGCAAACTAAGATTAAATTCTCCTCTGGGTCATCCAGAGCATGGGAAGTCATTATTGTTACTACTTTGTCACTATGCCCACTTTTAGTATTTGTAGTACTAGTAGTAGTAGTAGTAGTAGTAGTAGTAGTAGTAGTAGTAGTAGTAGTAGTAGTAGTAGTAGTAGTAGTAGTAGTAGTAGTAGTAGTAGTAGTAGTAGTAGTAGTAGTAGTAGTAGTAGTAGTAGTAGTAGTAGTAGTAGTAGTAGTAGTAGTAGTAGTAGTAGTAGTAGTAGTAGTAGTAGTAGTAGTAGTAGTAGTAGTAGTAGTAGTAGTAGTAGTAGTAGTAGTAGTAGTAGTAGTAGTAGTAGTAGTAGTAGTAGTAGTAGTAGTAGTAGTAGTAGTAGTAGTAGTAGTAGTAGTAGTAGTAGTAGTAGTAGTAGTAGTAGTAGTAGTAGTAGTAGTAGTAGTAGTAGTAGTAGTAGTAGTAGTAGTAGTAGTAGTAGTAGTAGTAGTAGTAGTAGTAGTAGTAGTAGTAGTAGTAGTAGTAGTAGTAGTAGTAGTAGTAGTAGTAGTAGTAGTAGTAGTAGTAGTAGTAGTAGTAGTAGTAGTAGTAGTAGTAGTAGTAGTAGTAGTAGTAGTAGTAGTAGTAGTAGTAGTAGTAGTAGTAGTAGTAGTAGTAGTCTATTTTTTATTGTTTAAAATTAGACTATAAAAATGTTAATTTTCAATTAATTTTATAGTATTGCAAGTAGCAATACCAGAATATTTGAAATAGCTTTTTCATATAGTAAATAGTAATTTTCATTAAATTCACTGTAAGAGTTAGCGTTGCGATAATGAATGATCGCGTTTTGTTAAGTAGAGTTGCGTTTACAAAATGCCCAAACCTTCCGACTGTATTTGTCGGACACTGTATTGCTTAAATAGTGCGTAGATTAATATTTATTAGCGTCGAGCATCAAATTTTGGGAATTTTCAGACATTTTTTATTTTTTTCCTTTTTTTTTGTAAATGATAGATTAATTAATATTGCAGATATAACGAAGCACTCTTCGTTGTTTCTTTTTCAATGCCCCTTATTAATGCATCCCTTATTATTATGTTTATTACTGAAAACACTGCTATAATTCCTTTATCAGTGTTAACGTTACCATGATTACTAAAATACAGAACTTTATTACGATATATATTGATATATCAATTCTTAAAACTTCCGAACTACCAAATGTCGTTTTATAATTTTCTCAATTAAGAATATTAGGCTTAAATGATCTTTTAAAAGCTTTAATATTTACATGTATTTTTACCTTGTATTTGTTTATTTACTTACTCCATAGTATATACTTATCACCTTAGAGGTCTCTTTCACCTTATTTTCGCATTTTTATTCAGTAACTGTTCAAAAAAGGAAAAACATGGCAAAGAAAAAGACCAGAGGAGTAGCTCTAAAAAAGGCATTCTTTAATCAATCTCCCACACACACACGCGCGTTATTATTTTATATGTTTGGATAAATTGTATAATAGGGATTCTTAAATTGCTTCGTATTAATTGTATAAACATTTGAATCATCCACTGGAAACGATTGTATAACATTTGATCCCAAATTCTTCTGATTGTGTACATTTGCGAGCATGTACTGTGGTGTGGGCGTGACTTGCCCAACAGTTGCATCCTCCACTAATTTCCTGTGGGAATAGATCAAGACTTGTGGAACGTCTACTTCTTGTTGTTCTGATACAGTACAGGTTTCCACGGAAACCGCGAATCCAGGGTTAGATAATTGCTGTGCCTTGCATTTCTTTCTATGCGCGTAAAGTGACCCTGCATTGTTATATCTCTTTGTACAAATTTTGCAAGCGTATGGTCTCTGTCCAGTGTGCGTATAAGTGTGTTCATTCAACGAAGTCAGTCTTCTAAATGACTTTGTACAAATCTGACAATGATATTTTGCTTCCCCTGTATGCATTGTTATGTGCCGTGCTAATGTGTTAGCACGTGCAAACGCCCTGCTACAATACTGGCAAATATAAGGTTTTTCACCGCTATGAGTACGTAGATGCAATTGTAGATAAGTGCTCTTCGTAAATGCTCTACTGCACACATTACAAACGTATGGCTTAACTCCTGTATGTGTACGCATGTGCGCAACCAGAGAACCACTCTGTGCAAAACACTTGCTACAGACTTCGCAAAGAAATCTTTTTTGAGTTTCTTTTACCCGCTTATGACGTTCTATGTGATTCGCTAGCGATTGCGCTTGCGCGAACGATTTAGGGCAGATTGCACATTTGTGAGGTCTATTGTGACGATCCTAAAATAATATTCCAATATTATTGAACAAATTAGTTTAGTTTAAAAATAAAGAAAAGTTTCAAGTTTCGAGTTTAATAACTTACTTACTTTCTTTCTTCCTTCTAAACAGTCACCTTTATTAACTACATTGTCTGTGTCCTCTTTATCATCCAAATCAGAATTGTCGAATAATTCAGCCTTGTGCTTTGATTGTTCATGATCTTTTAATTTGTCCACTCTTGAGAATCCTTTACCACATGTTTCACACGTATATTTTAATCCACTATGTGTGGAGACATGCCTTTTAAGATTTCTTTTTGTTGCAAACAACTTCCCACATTGAGTGCACTGTAAACTTTCAGCAGGAAGGTTTTCATCTTCCTCATCTTCTTCGTCTTCCTCTTCTTCATTTTCTTCCTCTTCCACCACGGTTTCTGTACATCTTTCTTTTACCCAACATTGAGACGAATCATCCAATTCTTCCATTTTATACTCTGGATGACTTTTAGCGTGTGTGATAAAAGATTTTTGATAAGTAAATTGTTTTAAACACACTTTGCAAGTAAATTTTAAGCTTTTTCGCTGTTCCTTAGGAGAGTCATCATTTTTTTGAATTTTTATTCTTTTATCCTGAAATATGACAATACGACGACTTTAAACTAGTTTATGGTAAAATATAATAGCTGCAATGATCTTCCTTGGCCAAAAATCTTGGGCAAAGTCTATCTAAAATCCAATTTAAATACTTACTTGGACATTACTATTAATCCTTTTATCTTGCACACTCGCGATTGCTTTATTTTGCTCATAACTAATTCTCTTATGTTGAATATTTTCTTTCCTATCGCGAGCTTCGTGGCAAATTGCAACATGATTTTTCACTTTTGCAAACGTAGGATATTGTTTATCGCAAACATAACAAACATAACGTAATTTGATTTTACGTTTATGTACAATGGCGTGTCTCTGCAAGGCCACTTTTGTACGAAAAGACTTGATACATCGTGTACAGCGTAATCTAGTTGTGCGTGAAATTAATGGTTTTTCATCATCATCATCATCATCATCATCTTGAATACTATCTGTCTTTGATGTCTCTTCTGACATCTGTTGACTTTCTTCGATATTCGCTTCTCCCTTTAATGGAACATCTTTAGTTTGTACTATATGATCGTCTAATAAAACAAACTCTTGTTTTATCGAATCGATTTGTCTTGCAGAATCATCCTCTAATAAACTTTTATAAACATTTACATTTTCCAGGCTCTTTCTTTGCTCTGTATCGTTTAATCGACTGTGTGACGATTCTTTTTCGTAACAGAACAAGTTCTTCCCTGAATTGAGACAAAAAGCTGTTTCATCTTTCGTAAAGCAAAAATTATCATTGCAGAAATTTGTAGAACAAACTTCTTGTTTTTCTGTATTTTCTTTCTCAGAAGATATTACGCTAGATATCACATCAGCGATTATTGCTGTAACTATGGTGCTGGCGTTGGTAACAGAATCGTTAGAAGAGGATTTCAGCTTTAGAATTTGACGAAGCTTCTCATCTGAATTTTGTATTTGACATTTAAAATCGTAAGATGCATCTAAACGCTGGTTACAAGGCAAGCAAATCACTGGTGGTAAACCATCTCCTTCTTCAACCTAAAACGACATACATGTATTTCTTTAATGTTCATAAATAAAATCCATACAAACGTATAATTTACAGGAGAACTATAAAAAATGTTACTACATTGTATGCAACATATGTATTTAAATTCATTATAACACGATTTCTAAAATCATTAGTACATTATTATTACATTAAAATTGTAAACGATGATATTTAAGTTTACAAAAGTAACATGCGTTATTGCAGTTGGATAGAAAACTTCTTTATATAGATATATAAATAATAGGATAATAACAAAACAATTGAAGAAATACAAGTTGAAGATGATGACAAATTTATTGAAAACATAGTAAAGTTCTCTAATTGCTTTATATTTTTCAAGATTTCAAATTTCTTTCTAAATGTTGTTGGCTTTAATTAGTTGTTGTTAATATAGGTCACATATAGATTGAAAAAGTTTCATCGAGGGGCATGAAAGACATACTAAATATTAATATCAAAAGCATATGTACAGAAGAAAGGAATAGAATTTCAAGGAATTAGTTTTTAATATGTTATTATCGCAAAAGGTGATACAAACTAACCTGTACAGAAGCAACGGCCATAAGTTTTCGAGGAATAGCGTCCCCATTTTTAAAAAGTTCACAAATTTCAACAGCTTTTTTCAAACAGATTCGGCATTCATCTCCATAAATTTTCTCATATGTATCAACTAATTGCTCGTGTTTCGAAACTTCCATTTTAATGCATTTGGGAGTCAAGCTACGACTCGATCTCCCCCTCTTAGGAAACCGACAATGTTTTTGAACACTTCTCTTGTTCGATGCACTTGTAGCTAGGAAATGTTTAAAATTAATAACAAAACATCAGATGAAATTTGAATAACTATTTGATAATTATAAGTATGAAGAAGATGTCACAAAATCGATATCTGCATAAAAGATATGACAAGAAATACAATTCATAGAGAAATATAATGATTTAAGCATATACAGTACATATGATACTATAAATAGTTTATAACACGCTTGGAAGTTTTAAATAAAAAACATCGTTTCACAGAAAAGATTATGTGGTTGATTATATGGGAATTAAAACCATTTCAAGAGATTATAATTCTATTTTCTATTCTTAACCTCTATTTATATCCTGTATAAAGAACTAATAAGTTACTTTGTCCTCAAAGCAACATCAAAAGTATATTTTAGTTTTTATGTTATTCATTGAACATACAGCAAACATATTTATTTGTATACGTTATACAAATAATTACGTACTATTTAATAATCATTTATATGTGCATCTATTAGAAATACATAAAGAATACACATGTACTTATATTATATGTATTTTAAATGTCAGTTTAAATGTCGCCATAATACGCACGCACATGCGCAATATGATGTATTAACATGTGTATGCAAATATGTCTGTTCTTAAGATTAAGATTTTGTACAAGTGAAATAACAGAATAAAGAAAGAGAGTGCAGAGAAAAAGGAAGGAAGGAGAAAGGTAGGAAAAAGATAGGAAAATATTTAATTCTGATTTTAAACGCCTTTCGTTCTTTTATTGTTCGAATTTATTCATCTGAAATTCAATCAACTTTACAATAGAGCATTTTAAGTATAGACTTGTTTCAACGAAACATACAAATAGACTATCTGTACACGTATCACAGAGTAAATACACTTGCATTTATTCATAGATTCTCTGGCAACAATTTTACAACGCACCTTTCACTGGAGCAAAACTCAAATTACATATCTGATGGATTTTCTTTTTGTTTCTCTATACTTTTCAATATTATATTCCCTTGAAAATCGAGGTTGAACCTAATGTATATTTTTATTCCAAAAATTAGTTAATTCCATAAAATTATTCTTATAGAATTATAAAACGTGTGTAACTTATTTTAATATCATTTGTATTTCGTTTGAATTTAATACTAAAATATCAGTCGAATTAGGAAGAGATATCTTCTAATATTAAAATAATATTTCTTTATATACGTAAATTATATTGAATCAAACGCATTAAGAAAGGCAAGTTTCCAGATTACGGTAACGTTACTAGTAGAACTTCCCGCTGTATTTTTATTCAATACGTCATTCCTTTTCCTTTCGCTTTTATTAAATAATTTTTGAAAACAAATTCAATCAATCAACTACCTACAGTTCTATATAATATCATATGCTTTGAATTGTATACAAATACGGTTTCATTTTGAAGCAGATAGTGCTTGAAAACTTGTTATTACTAACCAATTGTTTCAAGTCAGTTTTTCAACATCATGTCTGTCGCTGAGTAATCACTCGTCCTGGTTTCGACAAAATGGAAGTTTCCATTTGCTCAACGATAAACAGTTCGTACGAATGATAGAACAATCTTAGGTATGTTATTAACATCGTTCATAACCCGTTAGATTGCAATATATACATACATACATATCTCTATATATCCATATAGTTGTGTGAACAATAATAAATCTCTCTTTGTTGTTTTTAAAAATAAAGCATCTGTTTTTTGGAAGGTCGTCGCAACAGTTTCTCCAAGGAAAAAATATACATTCCAAGAAAGATTCTATATCTAACGGGTTAGATCACAATAGATTATTGCGTTATATCCTTATATCAGAAGAAACAATATTGGCTATATACAATATATTCAGTGCAATCTTTTTCCAGTTTTGTGCTTCCTTTACGCGATTAAAAAATATTCAAACATTAGAAAAACGAATTTCTTTCGGAAGAAATGGCGATAGTCTTAAAAAACAAACATGTGCAAAACTTATAAATCGTAATAGAGTAATTGTGTATTAATCGATTAAAATATTTAAACCGATTGGAAAATATTTCGTTTAAAATAGACTTGAGTTTCTTTCCTCGATAGGTAGCTCTGTTTGAACATTAGTTAAATTTAATTTTGTACAGTATAATCGTAGAAATAAGTGATTGAAAAATAGATGATGCGTGTAAAAATGTATTTGTTTCTTTTTATGCAAATAGTGCGAAGCAATCATAGAAAGGTATGATCACGATTGTAAACGAAAGACTGCGATTTAAGAAGAGAATTAGGAACATGTTGTATCCTCTCGAGTATCTTAATTCTCTCTCTACGGTTTCTTTTTTTTACACATTCTCTATACGGAATCCATCTGACGAATTCGAATTATCATTTCTTGCTTATGTCTTTCTTTTTTGTAGTTCTTGGTCTGTAATGCGCGATTGTCAATAATGACTGTTTTTGTTTGTTGTTGCTGCTGCTGATGCTGCTTGTTTGTTGTTGTTGTTTCACATGACTCGTGTTCAATTTTTAATCTTATATACTCTTTTGATTACATAAAAAGATACCGGGTGCCCGTAGAATATAATTTAACTTGTTGTGCATTGTATAGCTTCTCTTTTGTTAGCGAGTTAGTAGTAGTACGTATTATATTTTTAATTACAATGCTTCTACTTTCCTATATATTCTATTTTGCCAAAATCTTAATGGATCCTTTTAATTTAGAAAAACTATTTGAAAACTAAAGAAATCCAGCTTTTACAAAATGTGGGTAAGAGTATAAGAAGAAATGAGAAGAGTCGAGAAAGTGGCAAAATTTTTACTTTAATATAATTAGAATACCTCGTGATTTTTCTAAGAAATAAAAAATTGATTAAGTTGTATAATTTTCGGCAGATATATATAGCAACTATTTTTGGCAAATTTTACCTATTAAAAAACTTTCCAGAAGTTTCTTAAGTTTCAAGAATTTCTAATTGTTACATGAACTTTATAGTTCTTGAAACTTTGGTTTTTTACTATATACACGGTTTCCTAAAGTTTTACACACTTTGGCTGATACATTCCTATATCTATACGAAGTATTAATAAAAGTTGAGGGCCTTACCTTAAGAACGAGTCTATCCATCGGAACAATGTAAAAAATTCGTGTAGAATTACGATCGAAAAAATCGTCGTAATATGAGCTCATTTTTTAAATACATTCTTCTAATGTATTAGCATAGATGAAAGTATTACATCCTTTGAGATTCCTTAACTATAAAAAGAAATTTAAATAAATGATTTATTTTTCATATTATATTCTATGAAAATGGAAATTATATCGCATTTATAATATATTAGGTTGTCTGAAAAGTTTCTTTCGTTTCATAAGATGATAATAGATGAACAATAATTTCTGTTTTATATTATTTTATTGAATTAGGTATGATCTGTTTCATTCTATTTCTATTATTATGTTGGTGCATAATTCAATAAACTAATATGAAACAAAAAACATTTTGCGTCTATTATTTCCTTATAAAACGAAAGAAACTTTTCGGACAACCTAATATATATATAGTATATGAAGATTACAATTAAAAATGATATAATAAATTTTAATAACATTATTTTAAGAAAATACAGGAATATTCTAAGATGCAATACTTTCGTTTGCACCATAATAATACTTTGTTACATTGGTATATATTCTGTATAGTTAGACAGAAAGATAAGTACACATAGATACACACATATACAGGATATACAGATATACAAAATACAAATTTTACGGACACCCGGTAGATTTAGCGCGAACTCTTTATAATAAGCATAAAGATTTCAAACCGGAGCGTAATTTAAATAATTAGATTCTTTATCGGTTTTCGATAAATACTTTCGTTATCGTGGTCTCTGATTGTTTTATATCCTCCCTCTATGCGAATTATACTTTTTCATGTACATTAGTTAATACCTATTAGGCCTAATACGTTGCACTTCTTAGGATTTAATGCAATTAAAAAATCAAACATTTCTACAATACGTCTAAAACAAGATAACTGTTTGCAAGTTTTATTACATAAATTGACTTTATTTTTCATAACATACACACACATGCACACACACTTATTTTGTATTGTAAAGATTATACTATTTTAATTGGCTTGAAAAAATAAAAATTGAATGTTTATCGAATAATTATATTGAAAACAGGAAGGTAAAGATAATTGCGTATTGTTGAAAGTTCCAGTAAGTTATCTTGTTTTAGATTTTCAAATATCTACCTTTTTAATTGCACCGGTCCTACGAAATATCTTGTATATTTCACCTATGTTAAAACTAAACTCTTTCAGAAAACAAATATAGTTCGATTTCGTATTAAAAAGAAGAAAAAAAAGAGAAGAGATAGAAAAAGAAAGAAAACGCGTTACTATACGCGTGGACTATACGTATACGCTATAGACGCGTTTACTATGTTTAGAAATATATCAACTGTGCAAAAAAATTGCAGAATAGTTGACAAACTGTGTAGAAGAAAATAAAAAACTGTAGAATGATCTGCAATTAAGTAAATCCTTTCTCACGTTACAAAATACTTTCGATACTTTCGATGCAATATCGAATGAAAAAACAATTGTATCATATTGTTCCTCTTTCTTTTTTTAATACAAAATCTTGGTATGCTACACTTTGTTTCGTAATATGCCCCTATGATAAAGATTCGAAAAATAGTGTCGCAACAGCTTATTAATATTATTTATTTAATTATAATGAGTATCGTTCTGATCGACAAACAATATATCTAGTTGCATCGAGAGTTGATATTCGATGGAAATAATATTTTTTCTCGATATTATGTATTCAGTTCCATTATTCATATATCAACTCATCATCAAAAAGAAAGAATAGAATTTTCTCTTCAATTTCCTATTCGATGCTTTCCATCATGCTCGGATCCATCGCCATACTTTTTCCCCGTTTCTTTAACTCCCTACCTACCGTCTTTTTCTTCCATTTTTCGTTTCATCAAAATAAGTCTCTCTATAAATATTTCTTATCGTTTGATGAAATTAATCAATCGAAAGTAGTTTCATGGCTCTATATGAATAGTAATTTATTGGCAGCTATATTTATCAATAAATACTATATGCTTTTTAGATTTAAATAGAAAATCTATCGTTTCGTGGAACACCTTACACTGCTACGTCGGCTAAATAATGTGCTTCATCTGCAAGCAATTAAATATAGCATTTGCAATTAATTCGTCCAACAGCCTCTTTGGCTTCGGTATAATTATACGTTGCCTGTTTGGAATGAAATGATTACGACTCGGGTAAATAATTTCTCACCCACCATTCAATCCCTACATTTGTAATCAACTGCAACACTGCCATTTATAAAGCTACTTATGTATTCGTCGGACCAATCGTACGTATTCTATATCAGTATGTATGTTCACCCAGGTACCACGTAAATTCCAGCTACCAAACATTTTGCAAATCGATAACTTAACAATTATAAGAACAAGATACATATTTATCGATTAAAAAATAGGAGAGAAATTACGATGTTTTTTACCTAGTACCGCTAAATCGAACAATTAAATATTAAATGTTAAATATTAAAAATACCATGAACTAAATATTGATGAAAAATATTTTAGGCCGTAAAAAAAGAACATAACAGGTATGATTCTATGGAATTAAAAGATTTAAATCATCGTTAATCATAAGATGTTTCAGTTGACCCGGCTCGTATTATAAAATATTAAAATTAATTAAGGGAAGAGCTAGGCATGATTTCTATTAATCTCGTCACAATTAATGATTTTGCAACACCAAAAGAAATGTGCGCAACGCAAGGTCATATATTACGATATTGTCTATAGTTTTCTGATTTGAAAAATATTTAAATTCACGCATTCCACGGAATAAAGTGCCGATATATATTAACAAATAGTTGTCTCATCAATCTACTCATGGTACATCGTGTATTATAACATATTTAAACTTTCAACGTGTTTTCGCTTGTTCAGCATGATACATTCCCCCCGCCCCCCTCCCCGAGATTTCTCAGTAGTTACATTACTATAATATCTACGGCATATGTTAGCACGTAGATTTCAACCGTGGAAGAGAAAGCTTTTGATTTTCGTTTCTCGATTTAATCAAACAAAATCCTACTCCCCTTCGTTCCGATAACAATAATAATGTTACTGGCAATAATGCAATGATGCTCCACCAATGTTAAAGCATGATTTACTATAAGTAGACTGCGGACTTTTATGTGTTCGTGGGAAATTTAAAGGTGCAAGAAAGCCCAGGATGGTCACGATATTCAAAAATAGGTATACATGTTATACCCAAAGTACAGTATTCATTATCATATTTAGTGAGTAAAATAAATCTCTTTTTTTCTTCATAATTGCTCATAAAAAACATGACATTGCATAAATCTCCGCGGTCTAATTTTATATCTTATCCTATTTCGATCGAAGACCGAAGATCACATGGAAAGAATATATTGAGATAATCTAGTTTTGATGATTTTCCGACTTTTGTGTCATTTGGTGACCAAAAAAAGAGTATTTTAATATGAAATGGTCGGAGAAGAGAATAATGGATGGATGGATGGATACAAATATGTAAGCTTTTTGAAAATAAGTGAAATTATTATATGAGAAATTAGTTCAACTTGATTAATACTAATGTTATTAATATATATGTCTTCTCTTTTGATAAATTTTTTTAACAAATAAAAGAGTAAGAAAGACACGTACTCATTTCCAGGATCAAACGAAAGAACATCTAGACAACATATTGAATTTAAAAATCGCTCTTCCATAAGAAACACAAAAAGTGATTTATCATGCTCCTTCATACTTGTGGCATTCGATTACCAAAACCAAAAAGAAACCAAAAAGGTACCAAAAAGAAACCAAAAAGAAATCAAAAAGAAACCAGAAAGAAAGACGGAGAAAATTGAAATTCTTTTGACTTGAAATTGAAACCGTAACTTGGAGCATCGCAAAGCTATCATCGGTTTTGAATAAAAGCTTTTGAAAATTCCTCGGCCAATTCGAACGTGCTCGATTATATCGGACTAATGGTACTTTTCATGCTTGAATCGAAACTCGTGCTATTCATACCCTCGATACAATACGGCATTACCTGTCCATGCACGCAGGAACTGGAAGTATCGTTGTTCAGGATCAGCAACAGCAAACCAGAGACCGCGGCAAACACGCCAGCGGACATCAAACCAAGCGCCGGAAGCTTTTTGGAGGAAAGAATTGGTCCATCTTCGAGTTTGAGGTAGCACAGGCCAGGTAGAACGTAAGCTAGAGGTACAGCAGCGAGGATTCCATTCAATTCGAGAACCACACCCAGACAATCTGTTGACATCGATATCAGGTATGCGACAACCACTATCGACAAAGTAATTATCAAGTATTTCCGGTCGGAGTTAGGGACGTATGCAGTATGATCTTCGAGCTCATCGGTCCCTTTAATCGCTGTCAGTATTACCTGGAACAAATTTTCACAAATTTATCGACCTTACGTCGAACTTTTAATCTTGTATACAATTTTTTGTATACAATTTATTAAATAATCGTTTTAACGGGCAATAGATTCCATGTGTTGTCGTTAGATAATCGCGGATATTCATGCGTTTATGGAAAATTTCTCTAAATCCTTTTCCTTTTCTTTACTCTCCTTGTCTAATCCTAATTTTTATAGAAAATCAGATAGAGATTTTATAGAAAAACAGCGCGAGTAATTCAAAATTAACTGTACATGTTCATGCGATAATTAACATTACGCAACAAATAATTTTCTGGCTTTAATTGACATTTAAATGAGATTTTAAGAAGAGGAGGATTTATAGAAATATATCGGTTAATTAGAAATAATTTCTAATTAATTATTAATTAATTTCTAATTAATAATTTAAAAAAAAAACATAAAATGTTTCGAGAAAGCTTTACAATTATGCAACGAAACTAGAGATCGATAAAAGGAGCAATAGACCGAATTGTGAATATTTCATGAACCTCGATACAATTTTATTATTTGTTATTAATGCTTGATGACGAAGGAAAATTAATTCAGTTCGTTAACATCTCTGATCACAGATATCATTAAATTATGAATTTCGTTTATCCTTTATGGTGGTTGAGGAGAACTTAGTTGGATATATGTTACTTCAGTGTAAAACTCGATCAAGTAACTGTTTCTCCTTGAGGTGAACGCTCTGGGGGGAAGGGTTACCATTGATGTTTTTTATTACTGAGAGAGATTATTAATAGTTACATAAGTAGATATTCGGTGGTAGAACACTTTAGCTATTAGAAAAACTCAATAATATTTAATTGAAAAGCTTGTATCGAATAAATTTGTTCAATTTCGAAGCACTGCAATTTTTAATTTTCAAATCGATAGTCAATTATGAATCAATGTTTATCCTTTGATGTTAGGTTAAACATTAACGGTAATATCGCGATAAATTTTATGATTAGTTGTTAGCAAACATCTCCAGTATATTTTGCTCTGACTATTATATTCTTGACGTACAATTCAACTTACCTAGTTCCTTTATTCAGGTCTCTCCACCTTCTTTTCCACGATTCACTTTCCATTATTCACGACATTCCAATGTTACGACGCCGTAATCTTTCTTACACCCGTGCCATTTTCATTTACGATAATTTTCGCGTCTATCGTCTTACCTCGTTGTGAATTTAAAGGGAACGAAATACAATTGTTCTAATTAATAAAACTCATTCGATGCTGGAGGTAAATCTCTAAAAGTCTCTTAACACTCGAATACAAAGAAAATAGAGTTGGTTTACCGCTAAATAATATTTTTTTAAGTAAATTTTGATAGTAATTTTTGTAGTAATTCAAATCCAAAGGATGTACAGTTATTTCGTTGTTAGATATTAATCTTTACGATAGGTTTTTACAACGAGGAGTCTTTAAGATGATATTCAATGTTTTACTGATAAAGTATACAATATGAATAATTTAATGTAGTTGTCTAATCGCGAAATATTAATTTTCAGCATTTAGACAAAGCACGAAGAGCCTTAAAATATTTTGTAATATCGAAGGAAAAAATGAATATATATAGCACGAGTAATTCTCAAAGAATTTGAATACTGGCCTAGAACTTAAGAAAAGATATTGCCAAAATTAAGATAACTCACCTCCCTTGTGACGAAGCATTCAATGGGAAAAGTAAGTAGAATAGTCCCGCTGAACATGATTCTGGCAAAATTCATGAGATCATCGTCCCAGCAATAATTTTCCATAAGATCACCCTGAACATACGCGGTAAACGTGGCATATCCGATGATTCCAAAAGCTGTTGCGATCACGAAGGAAGTGAAGAGCGACCAATGGGTGACGATGTCCCACTTTTGTTGAGTAGCCCTTTCTATAGACTCGTAGATAAGGAATGTATTATGGTGGCACATAAAGGCGAATGCCATAATTCCGACGGATGGAATAATGCCGGGGAAATTCGCGAATCGCCAACTATCCTCTTGGCTTGGCCTGGAAATCGAATCGATTCCATGTTTAATTGCCTAGGGATTGTCGTCATTTATCGCCATTTATCATCAATAGAAAGGGAAGAGAAGAAGGAGATAGAAAAAGACCAGGCAATAATATTGCACGGCAAACCAACGTAATGTACGTGTAATACAAATACGATGTGAAAAATGGCATACTTTGTTTCTTTAACGTTTCTTTAACGTAGCGTTAAGGTAAAAAAAATTGACGTTCAGCCGCGACTCGACTTTTACGCGATCGTGCAGCTATAAACAATTAATTTTTGGAAAAAGAAAGTGTATGTTTTGAAAGAGAATTTTGAAAGAAGAGGAAGGAAATTTGAAAGATCACTCACACAATTGCTGACATCGTACCCATCCGAATTAAAATGGCCAATAGAATGAAACCAACGCAGACCAACGAAAGAAACGAGATCTTGGCCAAACGAGCAACATTTCTATAAAGACACAGCGGTATAGTGATGCAAACGGTCGCGAACAAGACGACCACTTGACGATGAGCGAAAATGCTTGTCTCGCTCATCCCTGTTAACCTTATTAGCACTTTCGTCACCGTGTCGCCGACAACAACGTTATAAGAGACCATCGCTGAAAAGGAAAAGACGAATAAGTTAGTGTACGAATGGTGGCCTCTTATATACAAGAGCCGCTGCACTCTAAAGTTCTCCAAACGAGCTTCAATGGTGCGCGAAAGCGAGTATTTTCCGATACGTTGCTTTGATTCGGACACCTGCTTCAGAAAGTTCACCAAACTCCTTTCTTTTTCTTTTTTTTTTTCTTTTTTTTTTTTACCTCAAACATATTTGTTTTATTTATTCTCTCTTTTTTCTTTTTCTTTACTTGAAACTTTGTTATCTACATATAATTGTGGAACATAATAGGTAATACGTGTTTCAGATAATTCTAGGTAATAAAATAGGTCGATGATTTAACTTTAATAGAAAAGACTCGCAATCGCGATTCTAATTCTCGTAATAAACGATTAAAACCCTGCTATCCTCCAGGAATCTACGGTATGACTGGATATGAAAATCATTTTCGACCAAATTATACTTTCTCTATACGGTTACAAAATTTCTTTAATTTGTGAAAAATATGAAAGGATCGTTATTGATACGCGTGACTTCACGCTACAACTTTATGCTAAAGTTTTTATCGAATCATTAAAAGTCTTCTTTCAGGGTTGAAACTAAAACGAGATTAAATCATAAAATTTGAAAACCGCGGCGGGATCGAAACGTAAGATAACGTTTGAATGTTTCATTTTAATATACGATATATAAACACTTTACAATCTTTCGTCAATGTATTTCAAAATGTACCAGAAAATTTGAAAAGAAGATATGATATTGAAGAAGACGCGAGGAGAATAGTAGGATTAATCGTTATTACGACTACTACCCTGTGGTTATAAAAGATGCATATACCTATGAATGGATAAATGAACTGCAGAGTCGTAAGAATATAGAATCCTGTACGACCGAAACTGGCTCTCATTAAACCCTGGTAACTCATTTCACCGCAAATGTTTCCACTCCTAATCATTAAAATTAAAGAGTAATCAGTGAGGCCTGCTACTAGTATTAATAATACTATCCCGAGGCCAAATCCAGCCTGATGAAGAGCGTAGGGTATACCTGAAAATTGTATTAATCAATGTTTCCTCCTTCTTTCGTTTCTTCGTGCGATTCGAAATAATTGTTACTCCTTAAACACCGAAACAATCTTTACTTTGTCTCTTAAAAAATGAAATGAGTATTATTTTATAGATTTTTATCGTTACGATGCCGCAATGTAAGTAAATAACAGATTGTGAAATATATCTTCATAGCTATCGGTGTTATTTGCAAAGATTTACAAAGCGTTCGTAATTTCTAACTTGCAACTCGTCGATTCACTGTGATCATTATTAATTAATAAATAAGATCACTGTTGAAAATCGTTTTCGATCCCATAACCGATGGTAGACGACCGAACGAACACGATGGTTACATAAATAAGAGATCCCTGATGAATCATTCGTCCGATACGAGATGATCCAAAGGGAGTAGGCATCGAGCCAACAGCTTCACCCTGAAAAAGATAAAACTGATACGAATCCCAAAATTTAAAGAAGGCCAAGGTTCCTGATGCAAACCAAAGGCTCCGAATGCAAACCTATAATCTCCTATGTACGTATAAACGTATACTATATGTATATTTGCCGTCTTGCATAAAATATATCTCATTTTTCATTTACAAACGAAGATAAGTTGAAACTAAAGTTATATATGGGAATAGCTGAATAACGCGAGATGCTCAATAAAGATGAGGAGACCATTAAAATTTCGCAAAAAGGAATCACCAATTGGAAGTGTTGACTAGATATTAAGATACATACTTGGAATTTTACACACAACCGCTTTTTATTCTACACAAATTGACATATGTAGATAAAACAAATATATTTCATATAATTGTATTACATTCAATTACAATGACGAATTTTTCTTAATCGGATATATACAGGGTGGTTGGTAATTGGTGGTACAAGCGGAAAGGGGTTGATTCTACGCGAAAAAAGAAGTCGAAAATATAGAATGAAAATTTCTTTTTTTAATTTTTTTTTTTTTTTCGAGCGAAAATTCAAAGCCGATTTTCTCGAAAACAAAGCCTCAAACGAAAAATTTTTATCCGCTTGTACTACCAGTTATCAACCACCCTGTATATATAGGCAGATGATAGATAGATAGATAGATATATAAAAATATATTAAAAATTTCTACATTTTATAATTCGGTGTTGAAGGATTTTTTTTAACTATATCATATATTCGAATTACCAATAACACCACTGCCAATGATGGAATTGATGAAATTAAAACTGGCCAGAGGTAGACTACTGAATTTTCCAGATTCTTCGTTCTTTTCCTATAAAATTATATCTCAGTTATATCGACAAAGAATGAGATAAATTAGAAGAAGAAAGAAAAATAGTAAGAGTAGAAACATGATTTGACAAGAATTGGTTATATCAAAGAGCATACAGCGATAAAAGAAAATAAGCGAAAAAGTTTCTTGTCGAAGTATTCGTATTAATCAAGCACAGAAATCTATAAGTACTGATTCAATTTAATAAAATTCTTGTTATTTGAGACAACAGAAAAAGATCGAATCGTTCGTCGAAAGATCTCATAAATTGTAAATCCTTTGATTTACCGCGTCCAAGCTTTCAACTATCTAATATTCGTATATACGTGTGTTGTTATAAAAATTATATATTAATAATAACCAAAATCAAATTTGCATAGAATATTTTTGCGTTGAAAATATTATGCGAATAGACATTTTAATAATAAAATATTCTGTTAGCATGATACTAGGCCGATGGAATATTCGCTCGATAGGAATTTATATTATACATATATATAGAAATATCATATTGTAGTCTGATCTCATTCAGAATGATTGAAATCCACTGTTCGATTTTCAACGATCCAATTTGAATTAATGATCATCGTAATCGACGAAATTCATTATTTTCCATTCTTCGTATCATATATTTAATTTCATACAATTACAAAATATCAATCCTAAATATTGATTGTAACAAAACGAAAATTGGCGAGAGGATAAAATATTTCATGCAAAATTCATGCATACGCTTATTTAACTCTGACATAAACTACGATCGATCGGATATAAAATCTAGTTAATTAGCTGTATTTCTTACCCCGACAAGTTGTCGCATGTCGTCGTAAGATTCCTCCGAACCCAGACTGCCACCCTATTTTAAAGCCAATATTAAAAGCAAGGTTCACTTCCGAATACTAATCACGATAAAATCATTAGGCGTAAAATTACATTCTTTGGAACAATGTTCTCCTTTTTTTTATTTTTACCTTTCTTTTATTCGATCACGTTACATTTGTAATAATGGTAATAATAATAATAATAATAATAATTTATTTGTGCTTTTGGCCGATAGCGTATTACAAAGAGGTTGTTGCATTCTTATTCCCAGCTTCTCACTCTATATCTTTTACGTTATCTTACATCGAGCGCTTAGTTATTATATTATATTGCTATCTTATCGCGTTTACATAATTTATTAATTAAACATTACTAATGATACAAACGAAATTTCGATAATTTTCATATTAGGCAATACTATGAGAAACTAAAACTTTTCGATTACTGAGGATGAAAAATTTACGAAATTTGTAATCTTCTCGATTGATACATTTAATTCATAATATTATTATGGTTTATTAAACTCGTCATAATTTAATTTAATTAAAGAGGTATAAATATATATTGAAAATAGTGAAAGTATCGCTATAATCAAATATATTGTTCCATACTTACCATTTGATAGCGTTATTCCGAATATTATTGTTTATAAATGTTACGAGTAATAGAAATATTGAAATTGTCCCATTTACATGCCCCACCCCGTACAGACATATTGTATAGATGTACGTAGTAATAAGATTTGTGCAACTGACGACGTTTCTAATACGATTGAAGTTAATTCATGGTGTTGTGAATTAAACTTTTAGTTGAGAAACTATAACTCTACGCGTTATCAGAGAAGTTATATAAATTAGTACTAAATACATTAATTTGTGATAATTTAACATAAAAAAAGTTTCTTATGAAATTTCATAATTAATATAATATAATATATAAATTAAGTGGAATTGATTTTCTCGCGTTTATTCGTCGAGATTTTATATCCATTCGGGCCTCCATCTATCTATACATTCTCGATTAGTACGTAAATATGATAATAGCTCGAGGCATTCAGAAAATACTATCGCAGGATATTTAAAAGCATAGACATAAAGAGTAATAATTTTTGAAAATAATTTCAATATAGCACGTACAGACAGTAAAAAAATGATAATAAAGAGATACGTAGAGAAAAGAACGCGTAGCTATATATCCGATGAGTTATAGATTTTTCCTCTTTGTCACGATAACACTAAGAATATCTTTGAATCAAAAAAATACATCTCTCTCTCTCTCTCTCTCTCTCTTTCTCTTTGCTTTAAATAGTTACAATTTCGAAAAATAAATTCGTCAGAAAGAATCCGTAAAATCATTTCTCACGAATCACTTCAAAAATTCTTTACTTCAGATTTGCGTTCAACTTTGACTTCACTTTAACGATCGATCTCTAAATAACAAGGAGATCACGAAACTTTACTTGAATCTAAATTACGATGCCAAATTTTCAATCACATCCTCCGATACTCGGAAACTAACGATAGGCAGGTACGTTTTACGAATAACACGATTACAGCGAGACAAACATCGTTTTCCGAACTTGCGATCTATTCGATTACACATATTCACTTCGATTCAATTACAACCGAAACGACAGAAATCACTTCGATTCGCACAAATTCACCGTCCAACAATTACAAATCCGAAACTAGTCGCGCTAGCCACTTCGAACAAACCGGATTACGCGAAATCCTACCTGTTACTACGCCTATCCGTATTCCTCTGCAATGTTCGTAATGATTTAAATGACAGTGTTAGCTCACGGCGAAGAAACACTAGTAGAACAACGCATTGTCTACATACGTCACCGTGTTCTCCAAAGAACTAACAGAGAAAATAACAGTGATTCACGGTCAGGTGGATAGAAATCGTGACTTTTACTTACGTCCTCGTAGTTGTTCCTCGCGTCCAGGATATAGCTCTTCTCGTTCGCGTCCAAAGCCATCGCGGGATTTTATTGAAAGCGGAAGAATCGAAGATGGAAACGAGAATAAACGGAAAGCTTAAAGGGAAGGTTCGACGTGAGAGTAGGATCGAGCAGACGTCTGAGGCGACTGCACCCTTCCTATCTAACCGAGCTTCCGTTTTCACCTCCCCGTTACAACCCCTCCAGCGGCATGTACATACAGTGGTTGCGATGGGTGCGTGCGCATTGCACACGTTCCTGTTTTTCTGCGTTATCGAGGTCCGTCGTTGTCTTCGTTATTGTTCTCCCCCTCAGTTTTTCCCCCGCCTCCGCACACGGTTTCCTTCAACCAACCCTTTAAGACTATAAACTCGAGCTATGGGATTAAGTCGAACGGAGACACACTGCATCGCGTATGACAAAACGCTAAGTCTTTGGCAAAATTTGCGTTGAGATATAAATTGTACATGTTATATATATAAATTGTCGCTATAATGCTGAGGAATGTGTGTGTATGTGTTTATGTGTTTTTTTTTTATATATATATATATTTAATACTGGATTAAAGAACGTTTGGACTAAAAAATGCAGAGATATTTCAAAAGCGACGTTAGCTGATGGTTTATATTAGTCGAATTGTTTTCACTACTGACGACGCGCTGGTTTTATCCACGATAACACGATTCATGTAATTACAGTGTATATATTTTCTACATTTCCATATAAATGGAAATAAACTTGATGATAATGTCTCTGCTCGATGGGGATACGTTTGTGTTGTATTATTTAAGAAGATGCTTAGTCGCAGCGTTTGTGCAGTTTCGGTGCTCGTTTTAGAAGTTATTAATGTCAAGAACGAATACGTTCAATTTGATGGAAAACAATTATTTCAATATGGAATTAAAATTCGCAACCTTCTTCTTTGCTCCGTTTTTTCTTCTCTTATAGTTAATATCGTTATTCATGCGCTTTCATTTCAACTTTCATGAAAATATTGCAGATACGCGATTTCGTATGTTTATTTAAGATTTTAAATTGATTTGTTCGAAGAAGAAAATACAAAAATGTTCTGTTAAAAAAGAAACAGTAGAGGAGATAAAATAATGGTCGATCGTAGAATAAATGATAAATGTTATTATTTATTATGCTTTGTACAGTAAAGTTCTATCAAGTTGTAAAGAAATCATGCCTTTAAGTAGAAGATGATACTTATAGTCAGACCCGTACGAAACCAGAGGCACCGTGAACAATTACTGGTAAACATCGTTATATTTTGTTTTTTAATAATCAAACTTTTTTCTTTAAAGTATAAAATACAATATTGAATATTACTAAAAGATGATGTTAATGATATCATAGTATAAAAACTATAACGTAAACAAGGAGTTATCCTAGAATTATTAGTTATCTGATAGTGTTACTGTTAGTTAAAACTCGCTCGTAGTTATTAAACGAAGACGAGAAATGAAAAGAAAATATCGCGTATATTTCATAAATAAGCTTTTGACGCAAAAATATTTAACAATTTTAAAAAAATTGGTTCTTTCGTTGAAGAACCGATTTTTGATTACTGTAACTTCATTTCAATAACTAATTCTTGACAATGTTATGGCAAAAAATAGAAATTACATAATGAACAATTATCGGTATCCGATTAAATACAATACTTAATATTTTATAAGGAGGACACCATTTATCGAATATTTTACTGACTGTACAAATTAGTTTGTAACGAAAAATAATTATACGTAAGGACAAATTAGATAAATTAGATAAATAATAATACAATACCTCCTTAATTATTACTTATTAATGGTAATTCTTACATAAATAAATGTAGTAATAACAAATTACACAGGCAGTTGACTAATCATCGATTCCTGATTGATAACCACCAATTACGTTAACTTTCTCATAGCAGTATTTTTTCAAACCTGTATTTTTATATTTAAAACACGATAAAAGCATTATAGCAACATTTAAAGCTACTTCGGTAGATTCCCCGTAATGCTTATTTGAAAGATATAGATACCTAAATATATATGCATATTATTGATCAAATTTTTACATAATTTTGTTCATTAAAACGGAGAAGTCTCGATAAACGTTCTTGAAATCAAATGCAAATAGAAAACAGTGCTTTTATATATATAGTTATGTTTAAGAGATTGCATTGCCAACTTCTCTCTCTTTTAATTTTGTATACTATAGAATAAAATCTAACGTTGAAAAATCTATTGAGAAAATCGATATTGTTGCCCGTGTTCGCTACAGGAAGGAAGCACAGGGGAAATTCGCAAGACATAATGTAAAAAAGAATCTCGTCTAACGCTTGTACTTGTCTAATCTTGGTATTCAAGAATGTCTCGAAGGATTTTGACAAGGTACCACGAACCACCCGTTGTTTCCGGAAACTGTCGGACCGACTTGAGCGTTGCTCAAAAGAGCATTGTTCGTCCTCTGATTCTTCATGATTTCCAACTGACGTTTTAAATTTCGATACAGCTTTATGAGAGACTCCTGTAATCGAGAAAGGAACTAAAATTAATAATTTGATTTGCAAAAGCATAATATAACAAGAATTTTAATTCTGAAAAATAAACCTAAAATTTAAAAGTTTGCAGATATTTTGCGTCATTTAAAAATTACTCTTTTGCGATCCTTCTACATAAACCAATCCTGAAATAATTTTTTTTACCGATAATCTTTGTTTATATCGGCTTACTTTTTCATCCTCCAGTTTCCTGAGTTCCTCTTGCTGCCTTAAACTGTCTATGGTCAAATTTTTTAGCATTTCATTTTTGTGCTGCCCCAAAAGCGCTATCTCCGTTTGCACCTTTAAATATTCTTGCGCCAGCTGTTTGTGCTCTTCGAAAATTTCTTTCGATCTTTCGCAAGTCTGATCAGGCGTCAATGGCCTCAGATCCGCGTCCAAAAGGCGATAAACGTTGTCTAAATCTTTGTCAGTCGTGCTATTACCTGTCAAACAATAATTATAGCCGAAAGTTAATCCGATTAATATAAATGATCGTAAGTAACTTATTTTGTTTTTACTCTATCCAAAGATGTTTCTGGTATAAGACCGATGCAAAATAAATTGATATTTTCTCAAATATGACGAATACACTGATTAAACGTGCGTATTATCAACATATCAGTAATCAGTCTAAACTCGGACTTGGAACCTATTCGTATAAAAAGTTCATTTTGATTATGTCAAAATTATGGCACACTTAAATTGCCGAATACTTTTACTCGAAACTATTAGAAAAAATATATAGAAAGAAATATACAAACATGTATTTATGACTTATTTTACTTTTTACTAAACATTCGCAGGATAAAAGGGATAAAGGAAAACATTAAAATAATAAACTTTGCTATGTTTCTTTCATCAACACTAAATTCAACTTGAATTGAAGATCTACTTTAGAAATATAGTAGTGTTATGTTGGTTTAACCCATTTTTAAATGATCACAGCAAAGTTATCGACTTTTGCTGCGTACGCCTATTTACGTTAAATCCATTCTGAATTTAAATTAATTTCACAACTTCTCGATTTATTTTGAGGATAACAATACTGTACAAACATTCGTTCGATTCAAGTGAAATACCCTCGTACATTACTTGATTCAAAATTTGTTTTCCTGCTTTCCTCCAAAACAAAAACTGCTAGTATACTAGTTATGCAATAATTACATCGAATTAAGGCATAATCGCTTTCGAAACATATTATAGAAACATTAATAATATGTTAATTTCCGTACTAAGTCTACGGAAGCTACTCATTCCATCAATTTAAAATTTAATCCCAAATTTTGACCTTTAACTTTTTATCACATTTGGCGGGTTCAACCGCGCGTTTTTTCTACCTCTATCGCGTGATTAGTAGCGACTGTTCGTCGTTTGATCCTACAATGTTGAATATCATGTAAAATCGTATAATAAAAGCTCTATCGCGGTTTACTCGAAACCCTCCTAATAAAAATTAAGAAAGAAAGGCACCTCGTCATACCATCAACGACGAGAAGAAAAAGAAAAACAGAGCAAAGTACTAACGTAGCAAAACCCAGCACCGCTTTAGGGTGTCCGTGGCGACGATATTTGGGTATTCCTCGCACATTTCCAAATATTGGAGCCTGTCGAGGCTTCGTTCATAATAGAATCAAGTATTCGTTCACATGAAAGATGTCACTCTCCGATTAAAAGTTACCACGAACCACTCTTTGATCCGGAGGATGGCGGTCGATCGAACTCGTCCGTAAAAGATGAAAAAAAATGCAGATGGGACAGGGGGAACGAGAAAACAAAATTTCCAAGAAACGAACAATTTCTTTTCGATAACGAGGGTGAGAGAAAAAGAAGAAAGAAGAGAAAAGACGGTCGTTCTTGGTGATGTGTCGGGAGAGCACTAAACAAACGTGCATCTATATTGGGCCTGGTGAGTCAGCTACACCTGCTTCGAGGTATCCCCCACCAGACAGGACGTGCAAGCACGAGCCAAGAAGAAAATACGGTTCTTCGGCTCTTAATTCATCTTCAGGGCTGGATTAAGTCGAAGCTCTGATTTCCATGTTGATGCCGTAGCGAAAAATTAAGAAATCCAATGGGGGACAGACATATATCTATCCTGGGATCGTCTTTCTTTGGGAAGCATATGCTGCAACTTTGGAAACTGTATCAACAAGAATAATATTTCAAATAAGAAAATGATTGAAAATCAATAATTTCGTTTGACAAAAGCTATTGAAGTAGAATATATAATTTATCATTTAATATATTTTATTCTTTATACTTTTATCCAGATCATTCGGCTTTTGCAGATATTTGGAAAATTAATTTATTTCTTCTCGGTTTGTCATTTTATAGTCTTTTATATGTATTCAATCTGATAAAGAGTAGAAAGAGCATGGTCTGTTTTTATTTACTTGGGTCTTTTAGGACAAAGCTTTTATCGTCGTCGATAGGTGTCAATCAAAAACAAGTTCCCCTGATTAGTTGTTCGTTAAATTTAGTATACTCGTACAATGTGACTGTTTTCGCGGGCCCTTTGCCAGGGTAGATTTCGCCGATCGACGAACTCCCAAAGTATTCGTCACGGTGAAATCACAACGAGCCAAGGTGCGATGTTCTAACTTCTTTCTATCGCTTCGTTCTCACGTGTCTTTTTATATTGAAAGGGAACAATATTTGTACGTAACGTATGTACAGATTAATCACAAGCCAAATATACATAAAACTATAAATAATTATAAATATAAATATTAATAATTTAATTCAGTAAAAGTCTACAATTTTTATCAAATTAATTGATAGATTTTTAATGATTTTTAATCAATTTTAGTGGCTAGTGGATTGATTTCTTATATCTTCAAATTATATTTTATTCAATTAAACAGAAATGAAACCGCATTTCGCAAGAACGCAAATAAAATCAAAGTGCAGACATAAGTGTTAATTATTTACAAAAGCAATCGAATGACGACAATGGATTTGCCTGAGCGCATCACATTCCGCGCTAAAAGGAAGGTTTTGTGGAACATACGGAGAACGTTATTTTGGGATTAGAGTACTATCGCGGTGAGTCACAAATTCAAAGTTCTCGCCCCGAACAAGTTCCCCTTCCTCTGCTGTTATAGAACAACGGCGAGGCCATCGGCAAATAACAATTTAATAATTGTGCTATACGTATATGATAAGAAAGCAAGAAATTATGTATTCCATAAAATAAAATAAAAGTATAAATATTAACAAAAATGAAAACGAGAGAGAAAACTTCGTTAAAATTTTCTATTACAAACAAATGAAAAGCGTAATATTTATAACACAATGATGTATCTACTTATCAATCATTTGTTATCGTTCGTATTGTAACTGTTTAAAACAATTTTTCCATAATCAAAAGCAAAATCAACTAAAACAAAATTTATAATTTAAATATTTTATAATAAAGGTAATACAAAACTTACTTTGTGCGGTATTCTTTATCTTTAGAATAGGAGATTCCAATGGTGAATCGGAACTCGGTAATCCCCAAGCATTCTGGAATTATAAAACATAAGAATATGTTTGTGTCAAAAATGTAAATACGTAAATCATAATAACTACAAATGTTGGAAAATATTTATACTTCTTTAAATATTAATTACTAATTTAATGATATGTAAACAAATCATTATTTTTAAATTAAAAGTTACTAACCGGATCACACTCAACGTAAAGTTGAGGAAAATCTTTAATCTGGAATTCTTTATTGGATGGATTGTTTGCTGAAATATTATTTTTAGGAGGTGGATCCCTGAAATCGTAGAAGGGATTCGATGAACTGTTTTTTTCATTAAAAATTTCCGATTTTTCTTTGGAAACGGGTGCATTAGCTTTAATAGTACCGTTGGCAGCATATCCATTTATTTCAGAATCCATAGTATCAGTCACGTCCAAAGTATCATCTTTAGAAACCTGGTTGTCAATAACTTCCTCTGAATCAACATCTTCTACAATATAAAATTACATTATAATTAATTTATTTAATCACTGTTGTTGTGCATGTTTATAAATAAACATTTCATATTTAAAATTATTATCTATTATTAGTAAATATTAATCATTTGTTAAATCTCATAACTTTGGATTGCTTAAATTACTTATAAAAAATTTTAATAATATATAAACTTACTTTGGGAATATTCTACTGGTTCTAGATGTCCATTAAAGAATTGTGATAAGGTTGTCATTATTTCTACAACAGCATCCATTGATGGTCTTTCTTCGGGAGATTTGTGCCAACATCTGAAACAACCGTTCGTTTCTTTTCTTACTACATCTTACAAACGATTTATAAATGTTTATTTGGAATGTAAGAAGATACGTAATAAAAATAGAGGGACATGCTGGCCAAAATCACATATATAAAGTAATTTATCAGAATAGATAATTTGTTAGAGTAGGCATAACAAAAAAAGATAGATCTCATTTCCCTTAATACCCTTCTGCTGGAAAAATGACTAAAATCGAATATCGATTATTGATTATTTCTTGATTATATTGATTATATTTTCAAGGATAATGTACCAGAAGAAATAGGTACATTTCATTTTTCCTATTTCCTACACAAAAGTTAAAATATTACAATTTTAAATTTCTCTCTTTTTACAATTATACAATCGCAACAATAATTCATGACTAACATAAATTTGAATATTTTATGCAATATTTTCCATCCTCTCAAATTCAACACTTTCCCTTCCACGATCTACTGTCAACAAAATTTATGATGAAAATAACTGGGAGCACTTCTTAAATTTCTTGCTAGAAAGTCCACGGAAACTACCATAGACAATGATTTGAAAAGCAAGTCATTCCTTCTAGTGTTGAATCATCATGCGAAAAACGAAAGGGAAAGTAATCTCGCCATCTGGCACAGTCGAATCCTTAATGGACAAATATCATTGAAGACAATTTCACTTACCACTAAAATTTGCTCCCAGTGCCTAACCATTGAAGGGGATGAAAGAGTGGATTGTTGTCCCAAAGGAGAATCCATAGTTGCTAAAGGACCTTAATTTCTTTAAAAGAAAATATTATGATGAACTATGTGCCCCAATCTTCACCCTCACTTAGGACAAAACCTAAAATTCATAAGAAGAAATTTAGAAAAGCCCTAATTAGAAACGCAGAACAATCTCAGAATGAAGAATTATGAAACTGTTAAAGTTATCCTAGCACCAGGTAGATTGACCACCACCTTACACATTCCTATTCTAAAATACTCTAAACTATTCTAAAATACCAGCATTCCAAACAATCAATCCGATACTCATACCCTTCAACATTTCTACATTCCCTCCTTATACCTCAATCAAATTCCAACTGATTATTGATTGATGACTATTAATTTATTATTCCCTACTTCCCATGATCTTAGACATTATAATTAAAAAGCATAGCATAATCGACCACAAATTAGAATATATCAGAAATACTGATGATATATTAAATACTTATAAATTAAACTGTTCGCATTATCTTTTATTTTTTTAGTACTTAAGACCATCGATTATTTAAGAAGAAGAATAACAAGGAGTACACATGATCATATTAAATACTTTTAAACAAATGTTTTTCTGTTACAGGAAAGGAAGGTTTGAAGACGCTATGTATAAGATCTTAAATTTCAACCTGTATAGGTAATAGCTTTTCACAATTTATATAAATTGTGAATAAATAGAAAATTCATTAAAGATTAGCATAATAATGATTCAATTACACAATTGAATCCTTATAAATAATATCAGAATAATATGATGACTCTTCTGAAAAGAATATTTTAAACATACAACTTTTATGTTATGAGAAAAGGGTTTATTCTATTACAATTTAACAAAATACAAATTTTAAAATGATTAAATGATCGTTAAAAATGATTTGGGCACAGCATATGGAAAAATTATCAAGATATTATATACAAATAAAATGCAAGTAATGTAAAATAAATATAAAATTGTTTAAAAAAGCTCTAAATAACAATCAACATACTTAAAAACATTTTGCCACCTGAAAAGAAGTTTTTTCTATGAACAAAATTGTGTAATCACCAATTATCAATCAAATAAAATGAAAATTTTTTAAATTAAATGCTTAATGATAAAGTTTTTAAAGAAATTTTTTAAACATAATAATGTTATAACTATTTTCAAGCGTAAAATATGTTAAAATACATAAAATATATTAAATCTAAATACTTGTAAATATACTTTTACGTTTCAATAATCTGCAGTTAATTTCAAGAAGAAAATAGAGTATTTGTTATATTTTTTCCTACAACATATACTTTCAAATACTAATACTTTATATCAATTACAATTATTTCTATCACATATTTAGTGACATGTGTCACTATCGAAAAAGATAATATGACTTTATAAAACAAAGAAAATAATTAATCTTAACTTCTTTAGTAAATTATTAGAACATGCTTTATTAATTATAAAAGTGAATGATTATAAATATTAATAAATACCTGGTCATGAGATCTTCAATTGGTTTAGGGCAACCTTCAATTAAAGGAGGTCTTTGTCCTACATGTACCGCCCACATTATTCTGTAAGCTGAACCACCAATTTCATCAAATGGTTTCTTCCTTGACAATATCTCCCACAAAATAACACCCCAACTAAACACATCACACTTTTCGGTATATCTAGAACCCTCAAATACTTCTGGAGCCATCCAAGCAGCAGAACCTTTGTTATTAGTCATATATGTATTTAGATCACAAGCTGTACCAAAATCACAAATTTTAAGAGTTTGTCCACCCATAACTAACAACAAATTTGGTGGTTTTAAGTCTCTGCAAATATAAATGAAATCTGTTGAAACGCTACAGATATCATTTGAATAAAAAACTTCCAGATTGTTATACTATGTCCTCGATAAAAAAAAATATATATTTAACTTAATTTACCTGTGAATTAAAGGTTTTGGTTTCATATTGTGAAGATATGCGACACCACGTGCACATTGCAAAGCCCAACTCATTGCATGTCCTGCAGTATATTGTGGCTGAGGATTGCAATGCAAAACTGCAATATATTAATAAAACAAAAAGTAAATGTAATATTTAATTATTAAAGCTTGATGATAACAAAACAATATGAAACAATAAAAAGCATTTAATGTCTTGTTAAACAAATTAAATCTTATGCATTATCAAAACAAGCAACAATAATATTTAGACTATAACAATATTGTATTAAAAAAATGAAGTTCTATAGAATTTAAAAAAGTTAATACCATTATATAAGGAGCCACCTTCTGCATATTCCATAACCAGGCAAACCGGATTTTTAGTACAGGCACCATAAAGTTTTACAATATTGGGATGCACAACTCTAGATAATTGCCTAACTTCTACAGTAAAGGCCTTTTTTTCACCTTCTGAGTTTATATACTTTATAGCAACATATTGTCCCCTCCATTTTCCTTTCCATACTACTCCGAAAGAACCTTTTCCGACTACCTACATAAAAATAAATAATGAACAATTTATTATTGATTTAATTTAGCGCTCTTCAGATTTTAAGATAAATCATTTCTTTTCGAAAAATGAAGTAACAAATCAAGAATATTAATAATGTTAGATAAACATAGAAACTGCATGTAACCTCAACAAAATGAAAAACAATACAAAGATATAAAAATTTAATATTTTATTTATTCTTCTTTAATATACTCTGTATTCTACTAAACGATGTTATTAATTTTTAATTAAATTATTTCTATTCTACACAATCTATATCAAATTTTTAAAAATGACATATATTCACAATCTATTAAAATAAAAAAATTTTTTTTTTCAGTTTTTTTCTCAACTTAATGATATTTCAAATAAAAATCTCTCTCGTTATCTAAATCAAAATTCGAATATTAAAGTACAGAAAATAGAAAGGAGCTTCGTTAACATAAATTTGCTTAAAAAATATTCAACTATCGTCATTTAGGTTATATTTCAAACAAAATCAGATAATCAATTAGGATAAATTACAAAAATTAAACGCAACTGGATGTAACATTTGAGAAATGTTTTATTGAACGACGATTAAGAAAACAAAAATTTGACTTGTTCGAACAATAATGAAAAGTTTCTGCATAGTTATGATACCTGCTCTGTTTCAATTTCATCGTAGTTAATTTCTTCTACAAACTGCTGCTGATGGCTTACTAATTCTTTACCCGCCATCACACACAGTCGACATCACATTAGTTTCAGGGCACATTTAATTACCGGGCGTATTTATCATGAACGAATATTTATTTAAACTCCGAGCTCAAACTCCTTTGATATTTTCCATTTTATTAACATTCAGAAGGCATGTGTAGCGAGAAAGTTGTATCGATAGATGTTCATCATTCGATAGATCGATCTGTTGAAATACGATCCATCGTTAAACATAGAAAATGTGATTAAATTTATGTGCTAACAAAAACAGAAACATTAAATTATTTTTGTTTAATCAAAAAGCATACCAGTTAAGACATGGGAAGAAAGGTAGAAAGAGAAATATGTACACATATGTGTAAAATGAATGTGCACTACGTACTACCAGGTACTACGTAACGACGTTTAATAAGTTTACTTCGGGGCTTCGGGGATAGCTTTGGGTTTTCTTACTAAATAAAATACAATCCAATCACAGACTACTTGTTTTTTGATGTCACATATATTCCATACATATATTCTCAATCATAAATTTATTTGCGTCAAGTTGCAAAATATCATATATATTCAGAAACATTAAAAATATATATTGTTATTATTCAGTATAAAATTTGACTTGCATTTCATATTATAATCCTATACGGTTTAAAATAGAGAAAATTAAAATATTAATATATGTCCTCTAAATATAATATAGATACTGAATCAGCAGATGCATATATTATGTTCGACGCTTTTAATCTTTGTTATACTTGTTATATTCTTTTTTATATATATATATATCTTCGCCCGTGCTATAATTAATTTGCTTATGTCAAATAAGAAACAAAACAGGTAATTATACATCGTATAAGTAATTTGAAATGTTAAATATATACTTAACATAATTTAAATATCGAAAACGTTATATTCTGTAATTTAATATTTAATATGTATTTAATTTTATATATAATACTTAATACTTAATATTTATAATTTAATATGTCGTTTTGTGTAAATCGTAATTCGTTTAGAGTTTATAGAATTAAACAAAGTTTTGTTCATAGATTATGTACAAAGTAATAATAATATTATTATAGTATACATAAGTAAAATTATAAAAAAATAATAAAGCAGAATTATTTAACAAAAATATACGTAGAAAAATTCTCATTTTATTATAGTTAATCGAAACCTCGATTTAATGCTTCGTTATGTAAAATCTGTTATACTACCATAAACTTTTAATTTCATTAACGGATTATTACATAATAGAGGGCTATAACTTCACTTACAAAAAATAGTTTTCGATGCTTCAGTAATTTAATTCGAAAATGACCGTGGTACTACAAAATATGTATATACATATATACTACGTAATACACCCTGCCCTGTATAAGGTTTTGTGTAACATGGCACCAATCAGAGCTCGTGATTTTTCCATTTAAAACTGAAAATTGTTAAGGTGATAATTTGTCATCGTCAATAAACGATTGTCCAATTACTTCTAATTCGAGTGGAAACATTCTGAAGAAAATTTGACTTTACAAAGATTCGTCATGTTTTATAATTATCAAATGTGAATCAATCTCTTTTCAAAATGGCAGAAAATCTTTCGAAACGGCCTCCTAAGGGAATTTTAAAATCATCTAGCAGCTTCGATAATCCAGATATACCCAGGTATAAATGATTTTTTTAGATTTATTTCTTTCATATTGAAGCAATGGTTTCATTTATACATACATATATAAACGAGTAACTTTAAAGTGAATATCTTTTTATAACTAAAAATTATATGAGAGAGAGAAAGAGAGATGATCACAGAGTTAACTTGTGTTTTAAGGTTAGTTTAATTTAAATCATTCTCATATATATTTTTTTTCCTTTAATTACTTATATTTTAATTTTATTTTATTAGAGCATTGTCATAATTGTAAATTAATTACTGTCTTTCTTAATCCATGTAATTTCGTTTAAAGTTGTTACAAACTGTCATAGTTAAGTAAATTTTATACGTAAAAAATTTTAATTGTTATTTATCTATTGAACCATATTAATAAATATATCTTTTTTCATTATAATTTTACAATATAATTTTCTGAATTTGTAAGTCATAATCAACGTTTTATCAAATACTGTTAGGAAATTGATAGTATTTTATATTAATTTTACATTTTGCTTGTTCCATAATTTAAAATAGTAAATATTAATGATAAATTTTTAATAATATATGACAATTTTTATTACAGGCCAAGCAAAGAAACAAAATGGGATGAAATGAATATAATTGCAACATTGCACCCAGCAGAAAAAGATTATGGTCATATGAAGATTGATGAACCAAAAACCCCATACAACTATGAAGGCCTGCAAGCTGAATTTCAATTTGATCAATTAGATTCTACTGCAGTTGCTACCAAGTAAGTATTTATATTAATTCATTAGAAATAAGTATTTTATTCTATATTTCTAGTTATTTTCATAAATATCTTCTGCATTGTACATATTACCACATATCACCAAAAAAAAAATAAATAAATAAATAAATAAAAGAAAATTGGTAGATTTCTATAAACTTCAGTTTGAAGAAGTGTATAATTTTGTAATATACAAAATATGTATAATATTTCAAGAACACCAATAGTAACTAAACTTATAGTTACATTAATGTTAATACTGACTGGAATATTATCTACTTCTCACAACTAATAAATATGTCTGTAATATTCGTTTTATATTATTTTATTTAATAAAAATAATATAATTACACACATTCTTATTTCATAATATATATAATACAAAAGTGCATAGTATCTTCCGAAATAATATAGATAGATAGAAAAAAAAATATTATTTGAAATAGATTTTTAATTGATTTATGTAATACACAAATGTAATTGATAGTGCGATATTCTATAACTTGTAATTTTATTTTAAGGGAATTACATTAAGGGAATGGCATTAAAATGAGATATACATATTGCTTAGAAAATCAATGAATGAATTAACAAATTAAAATTAATGTCTATAATTTGTTATTTTACTATCAATCAATTTATTGTAATGAGTTTCTAATTATTAATTTTCTTTCTTTCTCTATGTCTGTAAGGAGCATATTATTTAAAAAATCATTTGAAAATTAATTTTATTAATATTATAATCTAAAGTGATTGTTATTTATAATTTTCTCTTTCTGGAAGGATGCATTATGCTCAGATCTTAACATAAAATATTATCTCCTTTTTATCCGTTTAAAATTTTTCAATCAGTCTAATTTATGGTATGTGTTTAGAGTTTTATACCAGGATTGGCTTAAATGGAAACTATCAAATTTAAATTATGCTACTATTCTATATTAAGTAGCAACATCATCATGTAGAGTATAGCATTGTTACATACATAATGCTCAAGTGTTGGTATTGGAATTGAATATTAAGAATAGAATGAATGTATGCAAATGTATGTAGAAATTTCATGTTGATTTATTCTTTTTATTGGAATAAATCTTCATTGGTAAGTTTCAGTGCTCTTCAAAATGTACATTTGCTGTTTTTGCTTCTCAGAGTTGTATTCCTTTATTATTTTCAGTAATTCTACACAAAAAGAGGTTCTTGTGTGGAAAATTGCTTGAATTCTTCAGAAAAATATTATTTAAATTTCCAAAATTTGAATAAACAGGACCAATTTTTAAGATGGTTCACATATTTACAAATACTATGATCAAACAGTTTTAATCAAATATACATGCACCAAGAAACATACAAAGTGTTTCAAAAGGTATGTAACATCCCGAAGTCGAAAATTACATGAAATATAGTTATAATTTTTTAAACATTATTAATTGTCAAAATTGAATGCACATACATTTAAAATAAAATATTTTTACAAAACACCTCCTCATACATTTTTGGGGCATAAATTTTTTAAATTTATATAAGCTAAATTTTTAAACGTTTTAATAATAAAGAAAATAAAACCAATTTTTTATGTTAATGTATTGTAGAATAATACTGAATTAATACAACCTGAAAAATCAAATAAAAGTCTATATAATATGCATGTTGATAATGAAAAACCAATATCCAATAAATATATGGAATTTAAGATAACTACAATAAATATATATTTTTAAAAGAATTAAAAAAATTATTATACATGTTATTGTTTAAAATCAAAATTTCCAATTAAGCATCCAATTTTTACAATGAATAATATAAAAAATTTCTACGAATACATTATACAAAAAATTCTGTAACTTAAGCAATACGTACAGTGGTCTATGTTATTTTAAGGTGTTACACATCTTTCAAAAGTCTTCTTTACGTTTATACTTTTTTCAGAAAAGTAATTCTACTGTGTGAAATTTGAACACTTGAATGGAGTTGACATGCACTACAAGAAAAGAAGGAAAAATAGTTAAGTAGCATTAGAGTTTGAAGCATTATGGTAGCATTTTGAAGTACCAAAGAAATTCATTCATACACACATGCACATACAGAAAATCTTTTTACATATATTAGATTGTTAATCTCACTGTCGAAACTGAATTCTTACCTGGTAAGATATAATAGGATAAATTAATTTCTTTATTTATTTATTTGTATGTATTAAAATATTCTATGTATCATAAATAACAACTTATTTACTTGTTGCATTCATTCATTTCACGAAATCTCCATTCATAATTTCAAAAGATAGTTTATATTGATATGACTATTATGCCTTACCATATAAAGATAAATGAAAATCTCTACAAAAGTAACAGTATTTTTTCTATGAAGTATTTAGAAATTTTTGATCATATAAATGCATGTAATACTGAACTCCACACAAAATTTTTGTTTAACAATATACCTTTATTATCTATTTAATATAGCGAAAAAGTAAGTAATAAAAAATAATTTCTGTGTAGACAACTGCTGACTGTGACATGAAAATCAAGATATAATGAAATAATAAATTTGAAATTCATTTCTCCTAATTTTACCAAATTTTTATTATGATTTATTTATATTTAATTCATTTCAGTTATAATATATTTATATTAACATAAATTTAATTTTATATCAATGTTAATTAAGAAACGTTTAACAGTATTACAATATTATTTTAATAATTATTTTTGTAATAGCATTAAGCATCATAAAAAAAGTTTCATACGATATATAATTAATAATATACACATAATTTTGCTAATGAATATTTAAATGAAAATGTAACCATATGTCATACAAGTATTACAGATCAGCTACTTTTATAACTAATTACATCCTTACTTCGGAATGTTACATACTAAAAGAAAATTACATAAAAATACATGCTTGAACTACATTCAATAAGAAAATATTTTACATTAAGTATAAACATGGGGTTGTAAAATGTTTATGATTTAATCAAAATGATTGTTTTTAGAAAGATTCAAATAAAGTAATTACAGATTACATTACAAAGATAAATTAGGATTTAAGGTATTGTTATAAAAATGTGTGTAATAAGAAGGAAACGATTCATATGTTATAATATTTAAATGTATTATATATACTTTTTTATTTTGGGAACCCTATGTAAAATATTAAGGTACTTTTGTGAATAATTATTCCATTTATTTGCTTTATTTCTTATTTTTATTACAATTAGTATTAGTAGTTATATGTTTTGTACTTGTATATTCTTCAATTGTACTTAAAAATATCAACAACAATTAAATACATTTTATATTTTATATTTTCACAAATTTGGTTTTTCTAAATATTTCATTTCATTAATAATTATAGGTTTGAACAATTGACCACTAAAAATTCATAAATTTTGCATTTCTTTTCATTTCAAATTGTAAAGAATTTTCTTTCCCATATTTACAGATTGGCAGAAGGCAGTAAACCAAAAATATTTGAAGAATCAAGTGAAGATGAAGATGAAAAAGAAACTGTTGAAGAAAGAGGTAAGAAATTATAAACCTTTTCATAGAGAGGTAATTTATATTTTAATTATATTTGCATAAATATAATATATACCAATATGTATACCTTATAGTTGATTATAAATATTGAAATGATTTTTATTTTACTGTTATTATTATTAAAATTGTAATTCTAAATATCCTATTAAAAAGTAATTAATTTTAATCAATTGAAGAGGAATGAGAAAGATTATCATCAAAATGTGGTATTGAGTAACAAAAGATATCAATGTATATGGAAAAATTTTAGAAAAACGTAAAGCATTTGAAGCAAAGAGAAAGCGTCATTATCAAGAATGGCAAGTAGTTCAAATGGCTCGAAAACAATTACTTGAACAAGATGAAGATGAAGATGAGGAGAGCAATGAAGAAAATGAAGAACATGAAGAAGATATAGAAAAAGATGACAATAATTCTCTTCATCCTGAAGAACATGAGTTTGATCTTAAATTCAAGTGCATGCCATCTTGCAATATAACAAAAGGAAAGTGATATGGCGATGGACATTAATAAATAATATTATAAATTACTTCATTAGAATTTAGAATTCAATTCTCTAAAAATTTTAGTTCATGTTAAATTTATTTACTATTATACAACTGACAAATGCAATAAATTACAATGTCCGTTTTACATGAGTTAAATGATTAAGTTAATAAATTTTTGTAATTGACCAATTTACTACTTTTCAATAATTGACTTATACATTAATCAGTGTAATTAATTACACAACGAATGTATAGTGAATTTATAAGTAATTAATTGCGTAATTGAAAGCACATATTAATAAATAATTAATAATTACACAAATATTTAATTTAATTACTTATTTTCAGCAATTTAATCATTGGACATTCACTTATTATTTATTGAATTCAAGCTAGTACTTAGTTCTGTAATTGTACAGAATGATAGACATTCTTAATTCAAAAATGAAACTACAAATTTCTTTTGTTTATGAAAAAATCACAGTAATTTTCTAACTTTTATTGGTGCTGTGGTAAAAATGTAATTTGATTATTAATCACTTTACTAATATATAAACAGTAATTACTAGATACTAATATTTTAATGCATAAGTTGTAATTTATTTTCATGTAAATTCATCTATTACGTATTAAGTTTTCTTGCAAAGATTAAATGATTATTTATGTCATTTTATAATATCAAATAATTGATTTAATCAATTTTATCAATTAATTGAATTAATAATTAAATAATTGATTTTTCAACAGAATATTTAACATACTTCGATTAAGATTTATATTTGTAAACTAGAGCAATACTTTAGTTTTTTTTTTTTACATGAATGATTTTTTGATTGCTCTAATTAATCACGTTGCTTATTGAAATAGTTAATCAGTGATGTACATTTATAAAATTATTATTAAAGCGCTTATTAAATGTTTTATAAGATCCTAAGCAATTAGGAAATGAGTAATTCTTAAAGAACGAATTCTTTTACATAATTAGTAGTACGCATAAAAGATGGAAAGAATTCCTGAACATAAGATATTATTACAGATACACTCATACTAATTTATTATATTAAATTTGTAATAGATTTCTCCATTTCATGCATTAAGAATTTCTCATTTTCTAATTATATATTACAGTTTACAAAATATTCTTAAAACAGGGTGTTCTGTAAGGTATGTGAGATGAGTAAGAGATTCTGAAATTAGAATCTTATTTTAGACATTTTTACATTGATATTATCTTTGTTCGCATAGTAATATATATCATTTAGATATATTAGTTCCTTTTATTTCTTTCACGATAATCAAATTTAACTTATGCATACTAAATATTAAGAAAAAGAAGTTATTTTTATAAATAACTGCAAAATTTCTATACTAACATTAACATATTATTAAAACTTTCTGAACATTAATAAAATTGTATTTTGTCTATTAATAATAAAGTTCAATTTTTTATTAATTTTTGCATTTCTTTTTTTAATATAAGTTCAATTAGTAAAATATATGTGTATAATATAATCAATGTGAATTTGTCTAAATATGAAACTGTGTAAATCTTTCATTTGTAAAATTATATCTTCTTATATGTTTTATTTAAAATGTAATATATTCCTTGTCATAAACATCTCAAGCCCTTTGATCTTGTTACTAAAAAATTGATATTATCTTTAAAACTAATTTATTATTTTATTCCAAATCAAGATTTATATTAGTTTTCTATTCTTAATATAATACGGTGCAAACAGCCAAGGCTTTATAAATTTGAAATTCTTTATATATGAAGTATTATATTGTACTTCGAGATGGAACATTATTATTTATGTATATACGTATATATCATAATACAACAGTTTATGGCAAGAGAGATTATTATCTAGACAATCGAATTTATTTTTCGTTCAGAAATACTTCCTATGACATGTTACAGGTATTTTTGTAGATTACAGTAGGATCCTTATACAAATTAGTTTTAGAAAAATAGATTTTCGTCTGACGTGTATCGTTTCAGAATGTACTTTGCATTGTAAATATGTGTATTAACAACGAATTCAGTGTATTCAGATTTAAAATAAAACGCAATAAAACCGTGAATCGGATACTAAATCAAATATTTTTCAGTAACTGATCATGAATATTATATTTAGACTCAAATAATTGAATAACTGAAATAAAATTTTGAAATAAACAAATTCACTATCAATGCAAATTTTAATTCATAACTGAAAATATGCATAAATTAGTATTATTTATATATAAGTTTAGAATAAAGTATGTTTTAATATATAATAATATATGCAGACATGTAACTGTGTCATAAAACTTCAATAGACTTATAAAAAATATAAGTAACAGGATAAGTGTTTGATTCTCAGTTTTGTTGCATTACTATAAACAAGCTACTACGCTTAACTTAAATAGAATACTCAAACTTGCAGCTTTAAAGATAGATTAAGGTAGAAAAGAATAGAGTGTAATGGACAAATAGACCAAGGATGAAGATAGATGATTGTTTTATTCTGTTTCTAAAACATAAAGAAACAATATAATGCAACGTAGAAAGCCATCCAATTATTGCAATTTATGCGCAATGAAAAAAAAAAAGATACACACACACACACACACACATACATACTATATCATTCTTATAGAAGATTAATATTTCTTTAGATATTTGATGTTTACAAAAAAATGTTTCATATATTACATAAATAGTTAATCAATCATATTTGAAATATTAATGTAATCTAAATCATAAAATACTTTAGTATAATATAGAATTTTCATATAAATTATTTTTGTCTTCTAGTAAGCTTCTAGACATTTTTTAGCATATATTTTATTTCTTAAAAATCGTTTCTCATCATTATTACTAGCACTTATTTCATACACATTGCAAACATTTTATATTTAAAAATTATATGAATATATTTATATATGAAACAATTTGCAATTTTTATAATTTAAAAACATAAGAAATAGAAAGTATTATTCTCCAAATTTGAGATATATTGGAAGATGAAAACATATGGTGCCTTTTCATTAATTTGACCATAATTTTTCATTTTGTTTTAAAGAAAATCTTTATATTAGTTTTAAATTGTTTCGTTATAAAACACATTCCATTAATTCATACTACTTATAAATATACAAAATGTGTATAATTACAACCTATTAAACTTTTTACATAAAAGCACAATATAATTATTTGCTTTTCATTAAAATCCTATTATATTTCAAGAATGAATTATTCTATGTTTACTAAATGTATATCCAGTATGATGTTACACATACATTTCAAATTTAATAAAAACAAGTTTCGCAAGTATAACATGAACATTTTCTTATTATTTATTAAAACCAATTATTAATTATTGAAACCTATTCATTTATTTTTCATATTACTTCATTTGTAATAAGTACTTATGTATTTACTACAATACTTGATCTGTATTGAAGGAGAATAATAAATTAAACTAAATTAAACTAGTTGATCTGTAGTCTCATGTGGAAAACAATAGGTATAAATATATGATAAACATAATACTTTCTATCTAACGAGTTAATCAGTTAAGTTAGGAAAGATAAGCACATGACATGAGTAATGAGCGCGATTAAGTCTACAGGCAAATCATAGAATAGGAACGTAAACATAATTGGTCACGTGATACTCCAGCTATTCGCCGGTAGGTAGTCGATAGTCATTAATGAATTTGATACATTTGATACAACTTGTTAATATATTTGTTAAATTTGATACAGTTGAATAAGTTACAATCATTATTATATTTTTCAAGATTGTGTGACGAAATATCATATACGATATCTATATTATAGTTTATCCATGATTTTATCTGATCTTATTACCAAAGAGGAAATTTCCTTTCTGATATTATATAGTCAATGAGCGTTTAAGGCGTTCTCAGTTGGTGTAGCAGTTTATATTCTAAAAAATATATTCTACTTTTCCATCTATGAAAATATATTTTTCATTTATGTCATCTATCAAATGAATAGTAATAATTAATCATACAGTAATCTTTTTACTTAGATATCTACCAAAATAATCAAAATTAATCATCGTTAGAGTACCAATACCTGTTAAATATTAATATTTATCATGTCAGGTAAATTCAAATTTGAATGACAGTTGATTTCATTAAATAGCAACGCATATTGTCACTTGTTATATCTTTGCTGACAGAAGCAAAGTAATTCTATTGTTTGAACCTATCGTTCATTTTTAAAATCTCATCAAAACGGGGGCTGAACAGTCAATTATGTCCGTCTCCCAGATGGAAAGTATCCTTTTATTAAAATTTTTCAGTTTTTACATATTTTTCCAAATTGTTGGTTTCAAGTGTTCTTTATTAATTTTATTCAGATGAATGTTCCTTTTACTGAATTATGTTTGCAACTAATCTCTATTTTTATAAAGTTCTTATTAATTCTTCAATTGTACTTAAATTATAAAAAATTGTTTCATACTGATTTTGTATCTAAGACATTCTAAAAGAATTTTCAAATATTAGGTTTTCAATATTTTCAAATATTAGGTCAAATAATAGGTTTTCTTCTTAATTTATTAATTAACGATTTTATTTCTATATAATACGTTATAATATACATTATAATATAATATACGTTTTAAAAGCAAATTACAATAATCTGTTAAACATAATTTTAATGGATGTTACAGGATTTTGTTTAAAATGAAATTATATTTTAAAGGTTATGTTGTAATTTTTCCCATATATGTTATGTTTTGTAGTGTTTACATTTAAGGAAATTTTATTAACAATGTATTCGAATGAAGACAAAAATATTTTTCTAAATTAATGTTAAGGAAATTTATTCAATCTCAAATTTGCTGTGAAGGAATTAGAGAGAAATTCCAAGAAATGCGAAAAAGAAGAAAAGGTGGAAAAGGCAAAAATAAAAAAAGCCATTCAAAAAGGTAATATGGAGGGCGCCCGAATTCATGCAGAAAATGCAATTCGCCAACGTAATCAGGCACTTAATTATTTACGGATGAGTGCAAGAGTTGATGCAGTAGCTAGCAGAGTACAAACTGCTTTGACTACACGCAAAGTTACTCAGTCAATGGCTGGAGTAGTTAAAGCCATGGATGCAGCAATGAAATCAATGAATTTAGAAAAAATTTCAGGTAAATATTTATATTTATATGTATATGTTCTTGCGTAATATGTATACACTGTTGTGAAATATACATATTATGTATATTTCAGAATTTAATTTTTTACCATGATTTTATATGATATCTGAAAAATAATGAATAAATCATAAATTTCTGAGATCGTGTATGAATGTTTGTAATATATTATAACTTTAATGTTAGGTCTTATGGATAAGTTTGAAAGTCAGTTTGAAGATTTGGATGTACAAAGTTCATACATGGAGAATGCTATGTCTCAAACTACGACAACAAATGTTCCACAAAATGATGTTGATTCTTTATTACAACAAGTTGCAGACGAAGCTGGGTAACTACTTTCCTTAGAGTTATTTTATACAATATTATGTAATCCTATAACATAAATTTATTATATAATTTTTTTCAGTTTGGAGTTGAATATGGAATTGCCATCTGGACAGTTAGGTAGTATAGGTACCTCTACTATCAGTCAAGAACAAGATGAACTTACACAACGGTTAGCAAGACTTCGTGAATAGTGATACAGATGTAAAATCTAGTTACATCACAGGTACATAATGAGAAAGATATATCTTTATCTGCTATAATTTGCATTAACTTATTAACCTTTTGACTGCCATATAAGAGTTTAATGGAAATGATCACCATATACTATCCTTGTCTATAATTGCTTGGTAATTACATACTAGACATTATAAGCGCCTACAATTGCACATACTTAAATTTCAATTTCTTTTTTGTTTTTTAGCCATATACAGAGACTGGTTTATTTTGTAACGGTCAGTGTACAAAGGGTTAAAAGAAAACGTATAGAGACATTTTCTTTATGTACAGTCCATGATGTTAAACCTTTTTCTTAAATCTTATTCATTTATTTCGAGTAAAATTATGTAGTAATAATATAAAAAACTAAAATCTCCCACCTGAGGTTTATCATTAGGTTTCTCAGTTATTTGTATGAGACAAACATATATTGTTCAGTAAATGTACATATTTATTTAAAATTGCAGAATTCCATTAAACCAATTGAAAAATATTATAATAATTAAGTAATTGAGAAATATTATAGCTTAAAATGATTTCAAAATTATAGCAGTATATAAATATATTTATAGCCAATGGGATTATACAGAGTGTTCCATTTGAAGTTACGCATGCAATTATTTCCCAAACTATAGTTTGTTTTAAAAAATGTTTCAAATGGAACTTACCCTGTCCTGGGAAGAAGGGAGGCATGTTACAGTGATCACAAACCTTCTCTAAGTGGACGTGCTTCCAAGATTTCAAGTTTTTTTTATGCGGAACTATATGTTTTTATTTAGATAGGCATGTAACCCGTTCCGGGATGAATTTATCGATTGTATAATATAATATAATATATTGGTGTTTGAAGGTCATTTATTGCCGTTCAAAACATACTGTTGTTGAACGTCCAGAAATTGTTTCTTATGTATTCAAAAGGATGACTTTTGTAGTCAGTACAATTATTTACTCTATTTCTATATGATACCTGCACCTTCTCGAAAGTGACAGAACTAATTCTTCCAAATTCCTCACATTCTTCCAAAATTAGAGGCATATCGGCAATCTTATTGCGAAATTATTGCGAATTTATTGCGAGTTTATTATTGCGTATAATGAACCGTCGTAAATTAAATCGTTACCGGAAGAAAGTACACCTTAATACTATTTGCAATAATGATTCATTCGAAGCAACTATCATACAAACTGAGGATATCTGTCTAGTAGCAAATTATAGTTATTAATAAACAAAAACAAATACGAATAACGATAAATCGCATCATTTGTATAATTTTGATTCATGTTTACCATCTGAATCGACGCAATACTTCAGTAAATCAAATCCTGAGAACGTTCGAAGAAAGTAAGTTTTTGAAAGGCAATGAATGACCTTCGAGTACCAACATATTATGAGTCGATGAATTCGTCACGAAATGAGCTACACACCTTCTTAAATAAAAAAATACAGTTCCGTATAAAAAAAACAAAGATCTCCTTAAAATCTCGGAAACACGTCCACCTAGAGAAGATTTATGATCACCCCTCATCCCTTCCGAAATAAGGTAAGTTTTATTTGAAACATTTTTTTAAACGAACTATAGTATGGAAATTAATTGCAAACTCCACCTGAAACACCTTATATATCTTTCTTATCTCTGTAACAAGTACCTATAAATAATGAACACGTTAGAATGTTTAACACAAATTGCTTGAATAAAAAGAGTTTACTTGCTATATATCCATGAACAAAATAAGCTTTTAATATAATCAAAACTCATTTGTTATATTATAAGATTAGATTTCTGTAGAATAAAAAGAAAGCACTATTAATTGTTATTAATAATTATTAATAATTATTGATAATAATTATTAATATAATTAATTTTGCACAATATTGTAAACATAGCAGGTACTACTCTCTATGATATGAGAAAGAATATACTTTTATATAAAGACAATTTATCAAAGAAAAGCTTTATTACTGCAATGGTATTTATGTTGTAAACATACTATATGACAGAATAATTCAAGTAGATTGATTGTACTTTAAAAACAATTTGTAGCAATAAATGCTTGTATTATATGTGTATCATATATTAAATACATAATATGATACGCAGTTTATTATATATTTGTTTGATAAAAATAAATTTGTATAATAAATATTTTAATAAGTAGTATATTTTTATACGGTTAATTATGAAAAGTTAATCATGATGCTGCAGCAGTGCTGTTACCACTTTCTGAAGTATAATAAGGGTATTTCTGTATCCAAATTGTATCAAAAGGTTCAGCCTGTTTCAGAATTATCCTTTTCTTTGCATGGAGTTCTAAATATTTGAAATATATGTCAATCATCATTGAGAATCTTCTGTACGTTCAAATTTAAGTGAAGACATAACAATAGAGAGTAAAAGATAATGAAATTAGATTAATTAATTTAAATTTACCTAAACATTGTACAAAGGTGGATGCAGCATCAAATTTATTACAACTCTCTGGTGAAATTACATCATGAAATTTTATGAATGTCCTTTCACTCCAATGAGTTTCCATTAATGCTAATAACTCTTTTTTGATTAAATGTGTCTTTGAACTACAACAAGAAAACAATTTTTATAAAATGTTCAATTAATGTTGGTAATATGTATTAGATTCATGTATTTGTAACAGTATGAAGCAAAAATAACTGACACGGAGGAAGAACTGGATTTTGCATTTCTCCCATCAGATGATTTTTCTGTTATTGTCCTTTCTCTAAACAATTCAGAAACGTATATTGTATATAATATATAGCAAAATTAAACGTTTACACTAACTAAATAATAATAAACTGTACCCAATTTTTTCTTCAAAACCTGTAATTTCAGGAAGTTCAATTAGAGGTTCTTCAAATTTCTTTGTTTCTTTTCTTTGCTCTTCAGGACGCTCTTCTTCTTCCCCTGCTACGAGATTTTCTGTTTGGAGGATTTTTTCTAATGTTTTAGATTGATAAGTAATTTCAGGTGCAGTAAACATAAGCTTTCTTGATGATAATTCATCTGTTTGATCCGGTAGTCTACTTAAAGCGCCCACACGAATAGTTTCTCCAGCTGTAAAATTAAAATTGTATTTATTTATTATTATTTTTTTTATTATTTACTTTGTTTATTTTTTACTTTGACGTTTGTTTATCTCTTTACTATTTTATCGAAATAAACGTTATTTACCTGTTGTCTGGTCAATTTCAAAATCAAGAACATCTTGAAAATCGTTTTGAACCGTTTGCGCCAATGGTTTCGTAAGACAACTACTGAACAATTTATTTAATGTTTTTCCCCACGATATATCGGCAATTTTCGTTGATGGTTGTCTTAGATATTCAGTTCCTTGTAGTAAAATAGACGTAGACCTTTCTCTCCAAAGAGGTCTCTAAAAGATGAATAAAAATAAACATGTTTATAAACAATTGAATCGTATATTCAGTCAATGATTAAATTACACCAATTAAACCACTCACTGTATGAACGAAAACATTTCTGATATATTTTCGCATGACGCTACCAGACAGTTGAGTTCGTTCATCGAAACATTTTCTTGTCTTTTTTGGCTTTACTACTTCAATTAATTCTATATTTTCAAGAACTGATAAACCTTGCTGTAATTGAAATGGTAATTCAGGTGCAGATGGAGGTTCGTCTATCGGTGGTGGTGGTGGTTCTATTGGAAGCGGAGGTGGTAAATCTTCTGCAGGACTTATCTATAAATAGAAATTCTCCTATAAAATTTATATTACATAGTTCGGAAAGGCACTAAAAAAGTTATACGATTTAGTTATACAAAAAGTTATATGAAAAAATTACACAACATACCTTGCTTCTTTTCGCAGGAATTTCTGTTGGAGATATTAAAGTTCTTTTCCTAGAATTCGCAGACTTTTTAACATCCGAGCCTAAAAAATCATATTTGTAAAAAGGACTAACTTATCTATAAATAAAAATACAATAATTAATGCACCTCTAGGAACGACAAAGGATTTGTGTTGATCATTTTCAGCGGATGCTACTCGTGTTTCTCTTTCAGTTTCGATTGTCTCAACCTCAAATCTGTTAACATCAACAAAAGGAACTTGCACCGATTCCTCATGAATTTCTGCCGATTGATCCCAAGGAAATCTTCGTATTTCGTTTCTAAATAATGGATAGCAATAATTTTATAAATATCAAGAATATGTACCTATTGTTCTATTCGTTGTATTCTAATAATTTTAATAATTTTAAACGAATCATATTTAAAATTATTAAAATTTAAAGTATTAGGATCAGAAAGTATAAAATTACTTCAAAAATACGTAAAACTAACAAGGATAGCTCTGGTCTGGCTAAGTATTGTTCCATATCATGTTCGGATAGTATCCCGAAATACATTTCATCTTGCATCTACATTTGAACAATATAATGTTATAAATTTAAATAACGCGATATAAATCATATATAACATAACAACACAAAATAAAATTTTATTATCATAAATAATCCGCGTTGGGCTTGTCCTTTTTTTTTAATTTTCTTTACCAAACGTCCTATAACGGAAGTATATGGTTCTTCTGTAATTAAATGCGAATTTGGTGGAATTTCTAAATTCCGGAACACATCTTCCATAGGAGGAACATCCGGTAATTCTAACGCCATTACCGCGTTAAATTCTTCATGCCTACGAAAAGATATTTGAAATATTTTCGCGTTTATTAATATTAACGCTTTCCTTATTAACAATTTACCGAGTTATTAATATTAAAACTAATATAAAGTGCTCTATCAGTAATCAAATCTGAAATTTTAGAATTTCTGAAGAAATTAAGTGCTTCATAAAATTTAAATCTTTACCTTTTTTTGAATAATGTGCACTTCATTGCGAAAACATGATCTACAATAAAAAAAAGAGACAAAAAATAATTTTTTTATGTTTTTAAAGATAAAAGATGCTTGTTATATTACTGCGAAAAAGATTATAAAATATTAATTTCAAGATTTATGACCTTGAAAGTATTTCGTTTGGTAAAGAAGTATTTTCGCAGCACCATACATTAATTGTGAAGAAAGATAGAGACTAAATCTGCCATAATTTCTCCCACTCCTCATTTCAATCGTTGATAAAATTTCTTCGCTAAAATTGTAATCGTAATTGTATATATAACGTAATTAATTTAATAAATAAGTGCAGAAATAATAAAATATCATTGCAACAATAAGACAAAAGAATATCCACAAGAAACTCAAATAAATTAAACAAAATAATTAGTTGAAAGCGATCGTAAGAATAAAAAAGTACTTTACCAAGTAAGGACTATGTTAATCTTCTTAATTAGTATTGGTCTGCAAGTTTCCTTAAACATCTTTTCACTAAAGGTTGCGGCTAACCAGCATTTGGCTAATTTGCCTTTCCTTCTGAGAGAAAGAAGTTCAGTTGAATAAAACATTGGAGAACTGACAAATTGGAATAGAAATTCGGAGGTGGCAATGCGAATTGTCACGGTAACGATTTCTGTTTCTAGAATTTAACGGAAATGTGTATTCTTAAACAATCGATCGATCGATTTTTTGAAGCGCCCTCCATCTAGGAAGTCGAATATCGCGCGTGCAGTTATTATGTATACAGGATGATCCAGTTTTCTCCGACCAAACTTTGTCAGGATATTCTATCGGTGTGATATGAATAAGAAAACAATAGGGCATTTGAAACTGTACTAAAAAATTATAATAAACGTACGAAATTAACTATTATTCTGTTATCATGATTGAATGGCATAGAACATCGTGACAATGTTTAGCCAAGAAAAACTGACACGCCTTGTACATATCGCGACATATGTATTTATATTTAGAGAATATGTTACATTCGTACGGAACCCCGCGGTGAAATGATGTAAGAATATGTAGGGATGAAAGTATTGTAACCTTATAGGGAAAACAATTAATTACATATAGTTTAAACTTTATAAACGATAAAATATTTTATTACATTTGAAACGGTATATTTATTGTAATGTAAAATAATACTTATTCATTTATTTAAGAGATTTAGTTACTAAGAGATATAACTATTAATAATGTTTATTAATCATTTATTTTATGGGATTTTTATGGGATTTATAGCATTAATTGTATATTTAATATAGGTTACAATATGTGAAAATAGCGCTTTATTTTACTTTTACGCAAGTACAATAGTGGCATGTATGTGACTCACGAGAATGTGTAATGTGTAGATAGGTATTCTTTACTTTAAAAATTCTTTATTACCAAATTTTATTTATGTACTACAATATAAGTTTATTCGTTTCGTTACAAATACTTTTATCATTTTATATAAGTTTATTATAAATATTAAAAAAGTCATAATTGAAAATTTTGCAACATATATAACTCATTTCAATCATATATTTAATATCTCTGAGCTGTCACTTTCTATCAGTTCTTGAATAACCTCTACTATACTCCTACGTAGGAGCATGAAAGATTATATCAGTTTTCTTCATTTGTGACAAGAACGATCAAGTAGAGATGTTTTCGAGTGGGCCGAATTATACAAAATTAAAAACGCATCTGCGGCTAGCAGTTAATCGATTAAAGTTGCTTGAGAAAAAGAAAACGGAACTTGCTCAGAAAGCACGGAAAGAAATAGCTGACTACATCGCTGCAGGTAAAGTTGAAAGAGCAAAAATACGGGTTGAACACATTATCAGAGAAGATTACATGGTTGAAGCAATGGAACTCCTCGAAATGTATTGTGATCTTTTGCTTGCACGTTTCGGACTTATTCAACAAATGAAGTATGTATGTCATTCAAATGATTAAACATTACTTTCCCGATTCTATTTTATTGTTTCAATTTTTAATATTACCTTTATTATGAAATTGTAATATGAAATTATAATAAAATAGTCGTCATTCTATTAGCAAAATGTTATAAAAATCATTAATAACATAATTATTTTTAAATATCATTATATTTATTGTCATAGGAATTTAGATGAAGGTTTAGCGGAAGCTATTTCTACCATAATTTGGGCTGCTCCTAGAATACAAACTGATGTTCAGGAAATTAAAATAATAGCTGATATCTTAATGTCAAAATATGGGAAACAATACACAGAAGCATGTAGGGAAGAAGCAGTACAAACTATATCTGAGAAGTTGAAACATAAAATGAGCGTGCAATCACCATCTAAGCTTCTTGTAGAGAAGTATCTTATAGAGATTGCGAAAAATTATGATGTTGAATACGAACCAGATCCACAGGTAGAAATTATGAAATGAAACTGCTACTGATAATGATAATAATTCCAATTTTATTGTGAGAATGAATATCTTAATTGCAATATCATAGATAATGCAAGAGGGTCAAGATGCTTTATTGATAGATGTTGGAAATAACACAGAAAGAAACAATTTAGACACAGCTTCTGGAGGCTTACCACTGCCAGTTGGATTTATTGGGTTCCCTCAAGCTCCTCTATTACCAAATCCTGCATCTAATCTAATTGTAAGTAATCTCTTTTACTATGTAGCTATTTTGTATTTATACTTTTTATCCAAACTACACCTTTTAGAATTCTGAGAAAGGGCCTATAGGATTTGTAACTCCACCAGGATCATTAGAAAGTAAGGATCAAAATGTTCCTTATAATCCAAATAATGTTTTGTACAACATTCCCTTAGATAACTCAAATGGAGACAAACTTGTGAGTGATATAATTTAAATTCTATAAATTAAATTATTGGATGATTAATGAATTCTTATCTATTAAGGAAAATGATCTGCCTCCATCATATGCATCATTTCCACCTGATTTAAATAAACAGGTAATTTTAAAACAAAAATAATTAAACTCACTAAATATGTAAATGAAAATTAATAATATTATGAATAGTTAGATATATGAGTATATATTTATTTGTTTTTTGGCTTCATAGCCTGAAAAAAGGATTTGGCTTATGTATGTCTAACACCTACTCATTTCCATATAACTTTTAAAGCGCCAACACATCTACTCGTCTGCATCCCAAACACACATATCCCCTTTTAAATTTAATATTAAAAATTATATATAAATATACACACACACTACCCTATACTGACTATAGTGCAATTAGTTTGGTATCCATATTATTTCTTTCAAAACTCTTATCCAAAGTATCACCGCTTTTCTTATCCTACCAATAACGATTCCGACCAATAACGATTTCCCTCTTCAACATTTCTGCCTCTTACTATCCTTACGATCAGCTATATTAGGTTTATTAATATTTTATGTTTACTTCCAATTTTTCAATTATAGGAGCTGTTATTTATTATTATATTTGTTAAAATGATTATTTGTTATTATTACTTATTATTATTACTTGAAAACTTAGACATATACGTTTATATATTGTGTATTTTGTATTAATTATTATACATTTACGTAATACGTTTATTTATGATTTTTTATTACAGTCCGACCAGAAACCAAAACCTCAACCGCGATCGAAAATGCCGATGAATGATTTTCAGCTTCCAGATTTGCCCGCCGTGCCATCGGAGAATGATTTACCCTCAAATAATCCATCTACTAGCGAAGACATTGATTTTGACGATTTAATGAAGCGCTTTGAAGATTTAAAAAAAAGAAAGTAATTTCTTATTTAAGATATATTACAAATATGTATGTTGTATTACAACAAAAATATAGTGCAGTAGGTATAACTAAAAATAATTCCTATAGTTTAATTATACAATATTGTAAAATTTAAGTAACTTTGAATACTGCAAAACATAATAGTATTGGCAAAATATTATTTGCAATACATCTGAAGTAGAAAACGAGAAGTTACAAATGGATTTAATTTCGAACGTTACATCAATATCATAAATAGCTTAACACTTTAATCTTCTCAAATAATTGAAATCACCAAGTTTAGATTCTTATATAATACGCATTCAACATTTATGAAAGAAAATCATATAAAGAAACGTGTAATATCAAAAACATTCTACAGTGAATTTATTTCGAATATAATTTTCTTTTATCTTTAGAGAAATAGATCACATTAACGTGATATTGTGCAATGCTATGATATTTCATAGATATGAATTACAATATTGCTACAATAAAAATCAATTTTCCAATTCGATACAAAAATATTATCATTAATAAAGTACGGTACGGAAACAAAGAAAATTTCAAATAGCATTTGTATATATTGTAAAAAGGTGCATGTATATATATATATGTATATGTGTGATATATATATATATATATATATATATATAATTACAGTTTATATATTACCAATTATAAGTAAACTTTTTAATTGCTTCAGTTTGAAATGTAAGTATAACAGTATAATCTTACATTATTTTCTAAAGATAATATTTTTCATAATATTATTTCGCAGTATTGTAATTCAAAAAATGATAAGAAACTCATTGTAAAGAAAAGTATATAAAATAATAATTCAAAAAAATTAATATTTATAGATATTGTGGTAAAATATTTAGAAATTTTTTCTTGATACTCCTGCTGTTTTATATGCAAATAGATACACACAAATACAATATTATTACCACATACGGTATCGTTTTCTTTAAGTAACTACAATGACATTACATTTTTTAATTTTCCCAATCCTCACATTTCTGAAACAGGATTAACGTATTTATTTTAAAAAATTATTTTTTACGAAACTGGCGTAGTATTCAATACAAAGTACAAAAAAAAAGGTTAAAACTTACCTGCTGTCCTTTTTCAGCCAAACACGTCAATAAATTTTGTGAGTATTCACATTTTTCTCGTTTATTCGCTTCAAGGTAACGAAAACATTCGATAATTGATTCTTCAACGAAGTCTTTCAATTCTGGATCTTGAATACTTTGAATCATCAATGGAATTACTAAATCTTTTTCTGGAAATCCTTTTTGATCTACCTATTAATCAGCAAGTAGTAACAATTATTTAAATAACATAATTATTGTTTATTTCTATTCTTAAATCAAATATGATAGTACTTACAGCGTTTAATTCATTGAAAAAACATTGTACTATACACTGTAATAAATTAGAATATACATAGAATTATCAGATTAACATAAAATATTGTAGATAATTATAAGGTATTCAACTTAAATTCGTGATGCTTACATCTTGTTGCCGGTCAGTATTATTATTAAAACGTGTGTCCTCGTCATTCATCTCTCCATTATTAAAATCACTTTTCCTATTGCGCGAATCTCTAGAATTCCATGAATCTCGACCGTTGGTTTTACGAATATGTTTTATATTTTGGAAATCTTTAACATTTCCCTTAATCGAGCGGTCGGAGGAGTAAGTATTCGTATTACTATTCCTGTCAGAATTTCTGTAGCCATGAATAACTTAATTAAGATATATGTGTAATTGCAATAGAGATATATATGTAGAATATACAGGATGTTTAAAAAAATTGACAATATTTATAAAGTGTGACGCAGAGCTGCACGCAAAAAATATATGTATATGTATATAAAAGGTATTTTATTGACTAAACAAATTTTTTGAGTAAGTCCCATTTCTTCATTTATTTTTTATAGAAACATGCATTTCTACGGTCCAATAATTAATAATTTTCGCTTATTAAAATATTATTATTGCTCAAAATAATTATACCAGTTTTACCTATATCTCTGATTGTTCGTGGATTGATTATATGAAGGTCCACTGTCATTTTTGTCAAAGAAGTTGTTATCAGATACCTCTTCCTCGGAACGAGAATCACTTCCTGAACTTTTGTCTTCCGTGGATGTAGAATCTTCCCCATTACCTGTATTCGAACCGGTATAACGGTTCCTACAAGTTTTCAGCACTTTTTGAAAATGTACGTCTATTTGTTGATTTCCGGAACGACATCTTAAAGACTGAAAATAAATTTGTAACTGTAATTAGATTGCGGAAATTTATACAAGTATATATTTTGCTTCGAATCAGTGAGATAGGTAAAACTTTGAAAGAAATACATATTTTCTATAGATAGGATTTATTTATACATTAGTTGGAATAATTTATCATATTTATCTTATATGTACATATTTTTCATAACAGCATTCATGGCATATGTATATCATGCATACCTGCCATTTACTTCCTTATTATCAATATTATAATATTTATAATAATTTAATGACACTAAATATTATTTTTTGAATCATTTAAATTCAAGAAATTTTATACGCTAGATTTGTATAACAACTATAACATAATAAAATATATAAATTCATTATTTTTTAAAACTTACTACTCCCTCACGGAGAAAGAATAAAAGGATACAGCACAAAGTAAACGAAATAAAATTTTTCATGATACACACTGGCAACGTTCCGCCGTTTTAACTAAACAATTATTGAAACCATGTTCTCTTTCGGTCAAATATATAAACGAAATGAACAGGAAAAAGGTGATGATAATAATTGCGTGTCATTCTATCTTTGAAAAGAATTTGAGTTCAGTGGACGTTTCAGTGACATGACGTATCCTGAATTATTCACTTCCGGTCAAATGTAAATTGTGTAACCTACGTAATTGAAACGAATATCAGGATTTTCGTTATCGCGTTAGAATCTTTTTCGCAATCAGGTAAATGTATTTCGTAACGTTAAATAAAAATAATTAATAGCACAAATTAGTTTTATAACAATGATATTCGTTTATTTTTTACACATTTTAAAATAATATGCAGTGGTATATATTACATTAAAAGAGAACGATTTTTAAATAGCGGAAATAATATAATTTCCCGCTATTTAAGATATCCAATAATATCTATTGTAATCGTAGAGGGGGGGGGGGATAAAAGAGAGAGGATATATGAAAGTGATTGAAGGCTAAAAACTGCAAGGAAATCTACTGTGAATTTTGATAGAGAACTGTTGTTCTTCTAGCTTGGAAATACAAAATGCATATTAAATTTCTTGTAAGTACAAATCTTTCATTTATTCAAATTTGCATACTAAACAAATCATTTGCTTATTTTTAATGGCCTAATTTGATTCAGAAATGACAAAAAGTCATTTAAATGATCGCCAATACGTACAAATTTTGTATATAAATCGTACATCGTATATTATAAGCAAGTAAATTTAATTATTATTAATTATTTTAAATTAAATTTGAATTGAAAATTCTAAGTATTCTAAGTATTCTAAGTTATTAATATTATGGTGATAGTAGAATGAATTTTACCTAAGTCTTCTTTATTCAATGATACTTATATAGTAAAATGATAATAAATAAAAGAAAATAAGATAAAGTAATAAAAATAAATAGAACGTGATATTCAATTGTGAAAGAGCAATGGACCAGAAGAACGTTCGCGTGAAAGCGAAACAACTAGAAAATGAATTCTCTAACATGAGAGTTAAATTCATTGATCAATTAAACATATCCGAAAGCAGAAATTAAAACTTAATGACAGATTTCGTTTTATTTGAAAAAGTCTATTTATTTTCGATGTTTCTGTTATTCACCTTTTCCATCAATTTATTTAGCTTTTAACGAATGCAGTTCTTACGGTCGCAATTGACATTCCATGGGCCAGCAATCACCGATTTTATAAAGGTGATCAACTATCATCGAGTAGCAAACACAACTCGAAGTCAATAATAAAAAAAGATAACGAAGAATTACAAGCGCAGAAAATCAAAGAAACTAAAAACGTAATAAATAGATATATAAAAGTAGGAAAGGAAGAAAATATAGATCCTTGGAAATTATCAGAAGATACAGATCGAATACAATTTCAAGTAGAAGGTCATGAAGGACCAAAAACGTACCTTTTTGGATTTGATACTGGAAATGGGTAAATAATTGAAGTCTTAGAATTGAATTTTATTTGTGATGTAATTAAATAAAATTAATTTATCTATAGTAACTTGTATGTAGATTAAGACAATTATTGTGTTGAAAAATTATACGCATTGTTAAATTGGTCTTGTAATACATAGTAAAATAGCAAGTTTAAAAAATTTAATTAATGTTGACATTTCTGTAAATAACGATTTAGAAAATTAATAGTTCGAGAAATAATGACATTTGCGTATAGTAAATCAAACGTACTGTATGATAGATTAAATTAATTTTTTCCCTATATTACTGACATATACTTCAAATAGTTAAAAACAGAATTGGAGAACATAATTACCAGACAATAAAAATTCCAATTGTCATTTATAAAAACTAGATTTATTTATTATAAACGTCCAATTTTTTCGGTATACATATACATCGTTAGAAAACATTACATATGCTTAGAGGTATTTAATTAACAATATACCATATATTTATTGCAGAAAGAATAGACAATACAGATTAGAAGAAAGGCATCGCGATGGTACGATAAAAGGACAATATGGTTATTATGATGCGCAAGGAAAATTAAGGAAGATTCAGTACGTAGCTAAGCCTTTTGAAGGATATACTGAAATACATCACGAAAGTAATGTAAGAAAGATAAAAAATTAATTAAAAATCATACTTCTTTATTTAAATTTCAAATTAAATTTCAATATTTCAAAATTCGTACATTACTACGCATCAAAGTAAATGAAATATTAAGTAATCTAAATTACCATTCTATTAAAAGTTAATTGAATAGAAACAATGAATGATATTATAAAAGATGAAATTTGGAAAAAATAGACTGTCTTCCACATAAAGTTTGTTCTTAATATGGTAGATTCGAAAAAGTAAATAGTGCATACTTAAAAAAGAAAAAAAAAAAGAAACAACAGCCGTCAATGAAAAGTAAAAGCTAAATTTAAACGCAGATTTAAATATGCTATTAGCGAGAAGACTGTTAAGAAGGTACATATCCATATTCATTTATATGCGTATGTATGTATGTATGTATGTATGTATGTGTGTGTGTGTATATATACACACACGCGCATGCACGTGCGCGCGCACACACACACTTACATATAATGTATATTTTTCTAAATGTCACTGAGTTTCAAATTCCAGAATTTGCGAAAGTAATTTTCTCAAGGACTTTTTATAATATTCATGTTGTCTAATTAATAACTATGTAACAATGTTGCTATTACCTAAAAATCTTCCAATTCATACTCGTTCGGATTAATCATTAAATCATCAATATTAACGAAATACCCTCGCCATTAATATCTGGTTTTAGGTAAAGTTAAATATAGGATTAAATTAATAATACTATTTCAGAACTTTGAATATATTAACATCCTCGCTTGTTCGATCATCAATAACTAATTTTGATTAGTAATGTGGAATTAATTCTGGAATTAATCAATCAATACTAGTATTGGAAAAAGATATTTTAGTATTAGTATTGAGTACAAGATCTGAATATATGTACAATAACACCATATTAATAAATAAACTACAGATATTCATGCAAATGTATATTTTTATAAAAAATAGATACAGAAACAGAATATATATATCAAAATTTGTTTTGTCAATAGAGATTTAAGAAAAAGTACCTTTTTATTTTGCATATCTTTTTTATGTATTTAACAGATCTTAATACATTATATATGTACATCTGCATAAATATTTACTGCCTACTTATAATCAATGTAGATCTGTATTCAAAAAAAATTTCAATAAAATTATTAACGTAAAATATATACTTTCAAAAAATTCTCTTCTCTTTAGTTAATAATTGATATTCATATATCTATATTGTCATACATAATTTTTAATTAATATTTGTGCAGTACTGTTAAACAACTATTTGCATAAATAATATGTCATTTTAAACTAAATAAATAGGTTTAAAGTAATTATTAAAAATTTAATTTTTTATGAAATTACCTTAGAAATTTCTATCTTTTTAAAATAACTATTTTTATATCCTAGAAATTAAGTTTGTCCTAAATTGATTCTCTCATTCTTATTGAATAGAACTCTTTTACATTATATTATTTTCTTTTCACGTCTTCAACCCTTTATTAAACTTTTAATTTAAAAAATGAGATTCTATAACATTAAAACATTAGCACAAAAGAACATAATTAACCTCATTTAATTATTATAACAAAAACTTCTAATTTTTTTAAAATATTCAAATATTTTTGAACATAAAAATTAATTCCTCAAGATATTAATATATCTACTTCTGGAAATGTTATTCATTACAACCAATCAGTGCAACTAAAAGTACAATCAACAATGTACAGCTCATATCACATTTTCACAAGCTTCTGTGCATGTTTCATATAGATTTTTACATAAATGGTCTCGTGGAATACATCACGAGATGAACATAATTTGCAAACGCTCATCTAACTTCAACGTCAATTTTTCTGTATTCATTCTGTATTTTTTCATACTGTATTCCTTTTATTATTTTCCCATTTCTATCTTACTTCAATTTCTTATCATCAGTCCCGTATGATGAACTCTTACTTATTTTGGACATTCCGATCATTCTTTGCAAAAGTAAACAAACTGAAACGGTGAAATTAAAAGTATTAATATTTAAACAATATATAGAATAAACATAAAACTGTGTATCATATTAAAATACCTACTTAAGAAGATACTACTCGCTCCTATCGAGAAATAAATTATCGATCCAGACAAGAGAATAATAATCAAATAATAAAGAATTGGTGCATTCACTACCACTGCCCAGAAAATTATATTAACGAGTGAATTATATCTTCTTTTTAATGTAATCTTTTCTAATTTGGGTACCCCACTAAGTTCAAAGAAATCACCTGTTTGTTCAAAACTTTCTGCCATACGATCCTAAAGAAAAAAAAAACAGAAGTAAGAATAATTTCATAGCTAATTTCATTAATTTGAAATGAAATCATACTTTTTTCTCATAATGTTTATGTAACCATTCTTCAGCACCTTTCTCGTCTTCTGGCACTTCTTCTAACGGTATCCTGAAAAGACATATGTACGCAGTGATCCGTTTTCCCTGCAGTAAGTTTGTTAATGTTGGTTTTACAGGATCATCTGACTTAAACTGCAGTTGCATGTCATAAATGTCAGAAATTTTGCCCCGCATATGCGGTAAACTTGCTACAAAACCCTTCGTTCGAGGTGTTAAGTGATAATTTAATATTGGAAGATTCGCTTTTTGGGCGAATTTTTGACTGGCTTCTAGTTTTTCTGTTGTAAATCGTGTTCCCTCGGCACATAAAAGCAACTGCATAAAGTAAAATAATAATTAAAAAATTATTTCCATAAAACAAACGATCTTAAAAGTAAGTTTAAGATATATTAAAAATCACAGTAAAAATATGACAAAATTAAAGATCAAATGATTGAAATTGAATATCAAAAGGAAAATTCTTACCGATATACTATCTGGGTAATTTACAAGCTCTTTAATTTGAGAGGTGATTACTTCTTTATCTTTTTCCCAATTTCTTTCCATAAATATATATCCAGCAAATCTCCATGCCCACCCTAATATTGGAACATACTGTAATGATTTTTTTACATATGCTTTGCAATTCTGAAATATGCAAAATTTCACAATATTAGAAGGTAATCGAGTTACTTTCAATTTATCTTTTATGTAGAATTTTAAAACCAACACCAAGTACTCCTGTACGTTCACATATGATCCATCCACAAAGCCAATCTATTTCATATCTATGGTTCATTAATATATATTTATGATTTTTTCTAAATTTTTCTACATCATCCTTATTCATATAAAGTACAATGTCTAATTCAGACCACCATTCTGGTACAAATACTAACTCTGGAAATGTAATTTCAATTATACAGGATAAGAAAAAACATTTTCTTTCTATTTAATTTCTATGTCAGAAAAAAATTATATTCAAGAACTATAATATATTAACATTCAGATTAACTAGCTACTGAAGAAACTAGTTACAAGAAATAATATATTTAATAAAATTAATAAAATTAAGATAAGAATTTAAAAATTTACATAAAGCAAATATATCTCAAAATTGAATAATTAACATAACTTACGACAATATAAGGAATAGCAGAGATAGCAGTTAATCTTGCGATAAAGATATATGGAAAAAGGTCTAAGACCAAAGTACAAAAGACACTGGAAAAAATTGATGATCAGGCCCGATGTAAGAAAAGTTATACCAAATATAACATAAATCACATTAGATTGCTTCAATACTGATAACAATCCCATCTTTCACAATCTTTTTACATGTGTTCTTACAATGATAAAACATACATATATATCTCTTGAAGATTTTTAATTTTAATATCTGTAAAAAAGTTAAACATGTTGAATACACATTGATAATAATTCAGTTTTAATTAATGAGATAAAATAGAACATTTCAAGTTTGTCAACCTTTAATCATAATTGAACTTTTAACCAGAGGTTTCTATTTCATGTATATCTAAATATACATATGTATACATATATTAAATTTTCATACAATTCTTGGAACACAGATATCCATATATGGGAGATCTCTATTCCACATGTATTTAAATACATGAATATACGAGTATTAATGCCATTAATAATAGTTTTAATATAGCAGTCACAGTTTTGAATGTGTATTAAGAAAACGTTAATAATAAGCTAAATAAAACATTAGCAATAATAATCACTTAAAAGAATCGAAGGCAAATCTTAATTAAGATTTCGGCCGTATAAGTTTTGAATTTTTCAATTACACCTATCATTTCATTGACGATGATTTCTTCTACAAAAGTGTATTCTTATAAACTGTACTAGTTTTACAATATTTAGAAAAGATTCTATCCTTCTCCAATGATTCCTTGCAACTTTCAAATTTTGTGCCTCAACAGCAATTCAATATGTAAGTGATATAATTAGACTGTGGATGCGTAGTTTTATATGTCGAGATACGCAAAATATATGCTAAATTTATTTATCATTTTACAATATAATACATATAAAAGGGTACAATATAACATATAACATGCATACAATGTAATATAAGCATATGATATGCAGGAGTTACTTATTATTTATTGCAATTTACATTACAATAAGTAATAATGATCTTTTCCATATTTTCAATTGTTAGTCGATGTTTTTTTATTAGACAAAATTCGTTTATGGACAGAATATGTTCTTTCAACATTACAGGATGTGATAGGTGCGTATTTAAACTTTTCTAATATTGTGCTTCCATTTCCATTTATGAACCATTTAAGATTTTTCTCTGTCTAGATAGTATTTTGAATCCTGGATCTTTTTGGAGAATATAGCTACATTTTACTCTAACATTTTACTCCACAGGCAGTAGGTACATGATCTATTTTTCGAGTCAAATCTTCGACCAACTTCATTGATTCATTTAATAATAACATGTTTGCTTCCAATTTTGTTATGGTAATACGGAAGAGTGCAGAAATTAGCTTCAATAAACGCTAATTCTTCAGAAAGATTTTCATCCTTTAAAATCTCTTGGGCTGATTTAGTACAAGCTACATTTTTTTCTTTAAGGTTTTCTTTAAGGTTTTGTTCAAGATTCAACAATCTTGAAATAAACGAGAATTTAAGTATCATGTACAGAATTAATGATTCAATTAATTTTAATGAACTGATACATTACTAAATACACTTACTTCTTTAATAATATGCACATATCTTGCGTAAAATATCGCTGCCTTTAACTATGTTCTCCATTGTATTAAAATAGGTTCAGATGATAATGGAACCTATTTGGTAATCTTTTTATGTAAGTTTCAATGCTATGTGAAACTCTTAAATATATTTGCATCAAAAAAACAAATAAATTTATTGACCAAAGGGAAGTGTAGTCTCACTTTCTCCATTATTCTGTGCAAGCCATGTTAGAAGTAACATGTTAGTAACAGTTAACAACAAAATAATTTTAAACCTCTCCCACAATATTTTTATTGCAGAATTCACAGATTGTGGAATCCCAGTGACCTGATTTATTTTGTCCAATTCTTTACAAGCAAATGAGTAACGCATTGAAGCTGCTATTATCATTTTTTTCATATAATGTACTAACTATCATGTTTGCTATATAACGACTAACTTTATCTGTCATTTCATCAACTGAAATGCAAATAATGTTTTTCCTACCAATATCATTTTGTACATTTCGAATAATTTGTTTTATAGCAATCTTGTAAGTAATTTTTTTTTAGAATTAACTCGTTGGGAATATTTTGATTTTCCAAAAAATTCCAGTTTTCCAAAAAATTTACAAATAAAACATTGTTTAAATGCCATAAAATAAACTTATTTTTCCTTGCCATGACCATCATATCGAATGTTGTCATACAAATCTTCCAATTTTGCTTCAGCATTTCTTCTGTGCATATCAGTATTGGTATGTTGTTTTAACTAAAATTTTCATTCACATAAAATCTAAATCACAAGATTAATAAAAAAAAAGAAAAATGATATTAGATACTTAAAGTCATTGATTTTAAATTATATTTATAATATAATAATATTATTGTTCTGTTTATAATAGTATTATTGTTATGTTTATCATTTGATCACATACTTCTTCATTGCAGGACTCACAAGCAATTGTACCACCATATCACCATTGATAATCAAATGTATATCTGCAATTTCAGATACCTCTGTTTTTATCATTACATATCTTTGCTTGTTTTCAGCATTGCACAATTAATGGAACACTTACGATATTTGTATTTTATTAATATTACAATGCAATTGATTGCGATATTAGACTTTGTAGATAACTTGTTATTATTTATATCACTCATGATTCATCATATCACAACATTGCAACAAGTGGTTTTTATAACCCACTCGTATGATATCATGAGACAATATTATGGATAAAGTAGAGATACAATATAAATCTGTTGTCAATACCAAATATAATAAGAGTATGCGATGAGAAAGTTGCAAGAAACGTGTTAACATGATATTTGCCAACATTTAATGTCTAATTTTGGACATTTATATGAAATATGCAGAACATATACAATATGTAATTTATACAAAGTAAGGAATATTTTTGTATAACCCTCTAATGACAAAACATATTTCTATCTTGGTTCAATATCTTTTCCTATTTTCTATAAAAATATGCATTTACATAAACATCCACAATCTAGATATAACATTAGGAAAGCAGAATTCTATCATATAAAACAGCATTGAATTAAAATTGTTTCCAACATATTCAGCTGTTTTTGTTTATACTTGGATATTTGTTTTTCTAACCATGGTTTTCAAAACATAGTTTCAAGTAGCTGTTTCTTTATTACTTCTTTCTTATAAACTTTATAATTTGGCACTCGTAATTAGTATCTAATAATATATTGTGCGTACTGTAATTTATAGGCTGCAAATTATAAATATATTTTGGGTATCTACTCAATTATGGTATTATATCCTTCACCACCCATATAATAAATAGCTTCATCTTCATCAAGCTTTGCACGCTATATCACCCAACTTCTTTCTTTCAACATTTAAAACATATATGTATGTAATTGAGAAAATATATTTACTCTATCAAAATTATACCAATAATGTAGTTCAACTTATATAAATGAATATTATCTCTTTATTATGAATTTCTTCATAATAATGAAGACATATCTAGGAAATAAACAATCACAACACGATAATTATTACCCATAATGTCAAAGATCTATGTATGGCATTGATCAGTGTCAATATACTATACACGTGTACATGTATATACAGAATTATGCAGAAAATATGAATCTTTACATGTATACAGAAATCAAAATGAATTGTATCATTCGTATATTAGGAATATGAATTTTCTATTTCTTAATACACGTTATACGTGTCCCGTGTACACGTGTCACTTTATTATCCATTCAAAACTTTGACTTTCATTTCTAACCATACATACACACTTAAAACAAAAATTCGAAGACATTTTTAAATAAAACGTTTTTTAAAGTGAAGTATAACACAACGATTAAAATTGTTAGAAAAACAATTTGATATTTTAAAATTTTATAAATATCAGAAATATAAGATACCTTTTAACTACGTATTAGTCGCACACAATAGGATAAATATTATCATGGAATTATATCGCTACTTGATTGTATACGTTAATCATACATAATTTCTAAACTTTATTTATATAATACAGGAGAGATTTCGCAAGATGAAATTCATTATTTTTCTTCATACTATTTATATGTACCTGATTTCTTTCGAATGAAATAAATAACCTCATTCTTTGTTGACAGAAAGACACATTGCAGACAATTATTATTGGCCAAAAAGTATGAAAATTTTTTAAAAATCATATTCAAGAATGAAGTAAATATTACGAAGACAATAAAGTAATGTATGCGAAGAAGGAACCGATCGTCACTTAGTTATGGAAAAGAAGATCAGTAAACGATATAAATATTTAAATTCATATAGTAGAACGAACAAAATTTGTTAAAATTGAAATCCAATTAATGAGAAAATATATTATATTAAAAAACGTTCTTAATTTTAGGAAAAAGAAAACAAAACACTTGAAACAATTAACAAATTTTCACAATTCAACTCACCCAACTTAAATCATTTCTAAAATCTCGGGTCAAACAATTATCGCGTGTAAAGTGCTGGAAGACACTAACTTCTGAATAACTTCAACTTCTGTGTGCCTTTATTTACATGGTATTCACGTACGCGTAAAAGAAGAGATCGAAGAACGCTGATTGGTTGAATAAAACATCGGTTCTTGATCATTAACTAATGAATATCATTTCTGATGATCAGGTGATACTGTTGTTCAATAAAAAGAATTATGTAAGAATATATTCCATATTTGGTGTTTATCTAAGAATTTATTTTATGTAGGTTGGTGTCCATGCCGCCCGCAGTACAGTGCGCGAAAAATTGAAAACAATTATCAGAGTACAAGAGCATAAGAGCAGAATATCATTCTTATTACAGAAGTAAGTGTTTATTACTGTTTACTACCACGAGAATTTTATATACATATGTAGAAAAAGAAGGAGATCAGAGAATGTCGTCATTGACATTGTAAGAAATTGCTAAGTCAATAAAAAGAAAGAAACGTGTACATTAATATATGGAAATGCAATAGTTGTATACATATTGTAGTAAAAGGAACACGTCTATGTACAGGCTATCCCACGCAGCTGGAACAATCTATAATGTTAAAATGATGGAAAATAGAAAACAATTTCATTAGGAAAAATTACACACATGTACTACGTGATTCATCGCTGGAAACCACTTAATTCTTTTTAATGAAATGTTTTTCTATTTGCTGCCGTTTTAACGCTATGGCCTGTTCCAGTTGCATAGAACACCTTGTATACACACATACGTTACATAATATATTATTGTTCAAAAGTACATGGCTCGAATGTAATTTATTTGCAAAACTACAAGAATGATGTTATCTTTATTAAAGCTATTGTATAATATTATGATACGACAAAATATATTTATAAAAATTAATATCAGTAGGTATCAAATATTATACGGCTGTTTTGATTGTCAAACTATAGAAAAGCTGGAGATAAAGAAGAATTGATCGTGCAGGACTTTCAAGAAATCAAAAACGGTACAAAATCGCAGAATGTGGCATGCACATTGTAAACACGATTTTCTCGGTACCGCGTTCTCTGAAATGGCCAACACGACATAAATTATACTTGACCGATTGACTTTAAAAGCATACATTACCAAGCGTATCATATAAATTAGAATAATCAACAGATTGTTTGTTTCATTTCTTTCTTATCTGCGAAAGATCATCTCGCTGAATGACTAAGTGATTTAAGCAACGCGTATCCAGTTCAGAATTTATACAAGTTCGTTGATGAAATACGGTATCATTTCCTGTTAACGAATCAATTAATATCTTCGATTAAAAAAGCTTTAAAAAATACCACTCCATGTCGGAATTTACTGTAAAAGGTGGAAAATACGTTCTTCGTATCGCATTCCACTTCAATAATTAAATAATATGGCGTACACGGTTTATGGGGAATATTTTGATAAAGTTAAAAAGATTCAATTGAGATCTTTTTTCTTAATATCTGAAAATATATTGGGATCATACATTATAAAGCATTTACAACAAACACAATAACTTAATATTATACACTATATATAAACTTAATATTTATCAAGATATAATACACAAGCCACGATAAAGAGATCGAACAGTATTTGTTGGTAATATTTAATTAGCCGATATAAATATTCGAAGTTGGACGCGGAAGTTGTAGCTTAAACCGTTTTTTTTCAGCATACAACTTAATATTAACGAGATTAATTTCAACTTAATATCAACAGTTAAATGTTACAAATACAGAAAAGTTACCTGTAGCTTATAGTAATGCAATCGATAGTGTTTTATCAGGAATGAATTATTAATTAAAAAGAATTGTTATATGTATATGTCCTCTTGCCCTGATCCAAATAATGTTGTATTCGATGAATTTGCGTTGAACACACAAAAATTAGGCTTACTTTTACGCCTTTCCCGCCTTTTAAATTCCGACTTGCCACACCATCCGCATCAAATACATGAACAGTGTATTTGCGTGTTTTATCCATGCACGAATCATTTTAACACTAAACTTACCAC